TCTCCTCCTTCTCAAACTCCAGATAATGAGGTGAAGTCTATGCTGGAACAGATCTTGGAAAGTCAGCAGAAGATGACTGTGGATTTCAATGGGAAGATTGATGCTCTGTATCTGGATCTGAATGGAAAAATTGAAGTTCTGAACACTCATGTCAAGAAGCTTGATACTCAGGTTGCTCAGACTGCAGAGTCTGTAAAAAGGCAAGAAGGATTCCTTCCTGGGAAGACTGATACCAATCCTAGGCATTACTGCAGTGCTATCTCTTTAATAAGTGGTAAAAAGTTGACTCCTGTGCTGAAAAAGGGTGTTTCTGAGGATGAAATCGTGGAGTTCGACGAATCTGAAGACAATTTTGAAGTTGCAGAGCCGGTGTCGAGCGACACCACAACCAGTGTTGCGCGTCACCAATTGCAGAGCAAAGCTGATATTGCTCAAAGTCCAAAATCTGCTGAAGAAAGAGTCTACAAACCTAAGGTTCTTTACCCAAGGAGTCCTAGGAAGTCCAAGCAGGAGATAGATGATGCCAGATGCAAGGCTTTGATGGAAAAACTTGTGATTGAGATTCATTTGGTTCATGCTGTGAAGATTGATCTTACTCTCAGACACTATGTGAAGAAGATGGTGACTAATAATCTTAGTCATGACGAAGGAGTGATGATGATCTCTGAACAGGTCAGTGCTGTGATTCAGAATAAGATTCCAGAGAAACTCTCAGACCCAGGAAGCTTTGTTTTGGACTGCTCTATCTTCTCTGAGAGATTCAAGAGATCGCTGTGTGATCTTGGTTCGAGTGTCAACCTAATGCCATACTCTGTAGCTGTTAGCCTTGGGATGACTGACTTCAAGCCAACTAAGATCTCTCTAATCCTACCAGATCGATCTAAAAGAATCTCAAAAGGTATCTTGGAGGATGTTCCGATTAAAGTTGGTGATTGCATAATTCCTACAGATTTCGTGGTTCTGGAATATGGAGAGGAACCCAAAGATCCTCTTATCCTGGGAAGATCGTTTTTAGCTACAGCTGGAGCAGTAATTGATGTCAAGCACGGTAACCTTGATCTCCATCTGGGAGATATCATCATGACTTTCAAGATGGAGAAGCTGAAGGATCCCACCATAGATGGTCAAACATTCCAAGTCAGTGCAATACCTGAAGTGATAGTTGGAGATCAGAACGTGTTTGATGCTGAGAAGGTGAGAGATCAACCTGAGTTCACGAAAACGTCTACAGAACCAGTGACTGTTGTTGATCAGGAAGCTCCAAACATTGCACTTCATCCATCTCCACCAAAGCAAAGGTACGCACCTCTTGAGCCTAAGCCTAATTCTCGTGATATCATTGGAACTGATTCAAAGGATGCAGGCTCTGTCTCACGACGCAAGCTACGAGATTATCGTAGAGCACTTGGTTTTTCGTTTGATGATATTGCAGGGAATAGGTTGAAGCCACCCAAACACAGATCTCACCCTGGTGCTATTCCTGTATTCTTTGGACGACTTCATGCGCACAACTCTTACACACCACCATGGATGAGACGACTTTCACAGAGACATTCTTTGCCACTGTCTGAACCACCAGATGCATAGTCCATCCATGAAGTCAAGCTAATGACTTTAAACAAGCGCTTGGTGGAAGGCAATCCACTGGTGAGTCTGTACATAAGTCTTTTTGTTTCAGTTGATTTTCGTTTTTCTTTTCGTGTCTCAGGTGAAGCAGAGCCTGGTGTCGAGCGACACCACAATCGGTGTCGCTTGTCACTTGCTTCTGTGAAAAAAAAAAGTAAAAAAAAAAAAGGAAATCAGGTAACCGGAGTCAAACCAGAAATTCGGATTAGTCTGCTGCAATTTGGTACGAAGAGAACAAGTGTCGCACGACACGATCATAAGTGTCGCGCGACACCATCATTGCAGCCAGGTAAGTTCTCCGTTTTTCCTGTGTTCTGTTTCTTTTCTCTTTTGTCACCAACTTCGGATTTGATTACACTGGGGACAGTGTTATTCAAGTCTGGGGGAGGTAGTTGCTGACATTGTGTTTGTTTTTCTTAAGAGTCAGTTGTGTCAAAACGTTTTTGAGTCAAAACCTGTTGGAGATCATGATGCTTTTCCTGGAATTATTGTGTTGACCTTTCACCTAAGTGACCACTGCTGCAGATTCAGACTAGATCCGACTAATGAAAAATCCAAAGGCTGACCAGCTGACTAGAGGCGTCCATGTTTCCAACAGAGTCCACTAACCTGAGCTAAGTTCTGAACTTCACTTTTAACTCGTTGATGTGACTAATGCCTTAGAGCTTGATTCCTCGTTCGTACTTGATCAATGAAAGCCTGTGCGAAATTTAATGTTGGTACTTCTCTCCCTTGTGACGAGCTAAAAAGAAAGAAAAAAGGGCGAAAAGATTGAGATGATTTTCGCTTAGGAGTGAAGGGCTAGGAATGTTTCCAATGATCCCATTATTTCACTTCTAAGTTGGAATGATCACACAAAGGAAGGAAGTGAGGGGTAGGAAAGTTTCCCATGACCCCACTATTCGCTGAAAACCTTTGATACGAAGTAAGGGGACAGCTCGGGGACTTGATGGCAAACACCATCAGTACTCGCAGCTTTACTCTTATCGAGTATGCGCCATAAAAAAAAGAGAAAATAAAAAAAAACGATGAATGTGCGAAAAGAATAAGTCTGGGGGAGAGAAAAATACCAAAGTTTGTATGGCTGATTTGTTTGAGTACAGAATGGGAAAGAGTCTAGAAGGTTTTTGGCATCTGAATCATCAGTGAGATCTAGCGATGAAGGTTTATGGACAATGTTGTGGAATTTTGGACTTAATCTGGAAAGTTGTGAATGTCTGCGGAGAAGTACATGGTGGTTCGATTTGGAATGATGAAGCAGTAGTTGAGTTGCAGGCAACTGGTCAAAAGCGATGTTCCAATGAAAGGTTGAGTCTCTGTGTTTTCAAACCTCTTTCTCTTATTTGGTGTTCTGTTTGCATGAGGACAAGCAAATGCTAAGTCTGGGGGAGTTGATATATCGTAGTTTTTATGGTTTTTAACCATGGTATAGGTCTTATTTATAGAGTCTTTTTAGTGTCTTTCGAGTCTTTTGGAGTCTTTTCAGGTCATAGGTACGTTTGGAGCTTAACTGGAGACTTTGGAGCACTTTGGAGCTTAATCAGGATCAAATTCGTCAAATATGGATTTTGTGCTATAGTGACGCTCGACACCATGGAGAGTGACGCGCGACACTTGTCAGAGAAATAAGGAAAAGGCGATTTTGTCTCCTATTTGAAGAAGGAGTTGGGCCCAAAAGTCTCCAATAATTCCAAGGAAGCCCAAAACGTGTTTTAGAGATATATATAGGATTTTTATTCCCTTTTTACGATTACCTTAGATTTTTGAGAGAGAGATACTCTGAGTTTTCGGCTTTTGCGATTTCTGAGTTTTTGGGGAGACAAGTCTGAAACTCTGTTCCGGAAAGAGAAGATTTCGAATCCCTGTCTATTAATCTATTATTTCTTTTTTGCAATCTATTCATTCATGTTTATTGCTTCAATCTTCATGTCTGAGTAGTTTGTTTGTTAGGTTTAGGGTTCTCATAAAGGATTTCTTTGGATGTTGGATTGATTAATTAATTAGGGTTCATAATCTATTTAGTTCTTCACCATAGGTTGTTCTTAAAGCTAATTCTGGACTGGCCACCTAGAACTTAGATCTTAGGTTAATTGATTGACACGGAAGTGTAATTGAATAACTGGAAAGAACCTAGGGTGAGCAAAGTAGCTATTCGCAAAGGAATTTGGTTTAGATACTTTGTGAACATATCGAACTTGTGCATTAAAGCTGGTTTAAATCTTTAGGATTTGCAAAGGAATTTAGAATTCTAGGATTTTAACTTAGATAATTCTCACAACGGAAGTTGGTTAATTATAATTCTGTGATTCGAGTTCAAGAACCGTGCTTAAACCTGAACCCTGATTAATCGATTGTTCAGCATTCATTGATCTCTTGAGAAACGCCCTAAGCCTAATCTCCATCCATCTGAATCTTACAAACCGTTTTTATTGTTGCTTAGTCTAATTCTGTTGCATTGCTATTTATTTACAATATTTCTGCTTAACGTAATTCGATCTCTATAAGGTTTATTGAGTGATCTCTTGTCTCTGTGGTTCGACACCTACATACTACAACTGCACATATGTGCTCTTGCAGAGGAGCTTAGGGATTAAACTTTGAGCATTGAGCATATCACTTAAGTAAAAAAAATAATTAATATATAAATATTTATTTATTATCGGCGATTCTAATCCATTATTGCTTACAATTACAATTAATCTACAAGATTTATATCATGCTTCACAAGTTTAGTCATAGTATTTTCCTGATTTTCAACTTAAGATTAACTTTACATTTGGTGGTTACATCGTCTTTTCCTCAGAGCCGTCATGATGACATACAGAGTGTTCGTTTGCACCATCTTCACGATGTTGGTTAAGAAAAGTAGATCCCAACAACATTGACACTCAACATGAAGTAATTAGAGAACAGCTTTTATCAAGACTTTCGGCTGTAATTTTACAATTTTTAATAATGGGTAATAAAGGGTCATTTTTAAGTTTTAACAGAGGAGGGCCCATGAAAACGTTGAACCACCACTGAGCTGCTCAGTCTGAGCAAGGAGAATGGTTTTTTTGTGTTCAATATACTCTGTGATGGCCGGTGTTCGTGCCGGATATACGACGAAGAGTTTTGTTTCCTGCGTTTGCTTTCTAAGCAAAGAGACGAGGAGTTATCAATTTTGTTTGTGTTTGAGTGCTTGAGATTGTTAAAAGATTTAAATTTCTATGGGAAAAGTTACTTTACCCCTAGAAAACCGTGTTGTCTTCTCATACGCCCGAAAATGTAAGACACAACTTTTGTGTATTAGTGCAGTTTCGTAACTCCAAGATATTTGCACTTGCTAGATTCTTATTTTCGGCTCTAATAATAGATATTAAACGGACGAAGACTTAAGCGGAGAACGCGCTTAACATTTTACAATTTAGATATATTTACGAACTAAAGTAGCATATTACTTAGTATTAGTCGTCAACTTAATAAAACAACCTGGTATATAAACAAAATTTGATTAACATATAAAATAAAACATTAAAGTAGACGCACTTCCAAAGGTCAAAATCCGACGATGATAGTGAAGATCCAACCGCCACTTGCAACTACACGACTCGTAAAAAGAAGCTTGCAAAACACAGCCCAGGACAGAAACTAACACGTGGCGGCGCATTGCGTAGGTGGAAGACAGTTATGTACAAAAAGTAAACCTCGCCGTCACTTTATACCCTTTACACACACTCTCGGTTACCCAAAAAAAAAGTCAAAACAGACACGTGGCGAAAGATCTAGACTGTGAGTTGCTTTTTAACGGTGCTGACTCCTTGACTCACCGCTGTACAACCTGCGCGCGACACGTGCGAACAATTAGTGAATCATCCATCAACTTCAGATCTGAACTCTTCGATTCCGAGTACTTAAAAACCAACGGCTGTGATTAAAATAGTGTTTTTGTGATTAAAATAGTAAAACACACACACACACATCATTTTCATAGTCACTACGAAGTTAGAGTTGATGATTTATACCATATGCACAATAAGGAAGGATGATGAGTTGATAAAATAGAATAATCTTTTTTCAATTTATTTACATCCACGCGCCCACTAAACACAGTGCCACGTGTTCCTTCCTTTGAGCTTCGATACCATCACTGACACATAAATAACTCATCACCAAGATATCAGAAAATCAACAATGAACTAAACCAACCAAACCGGTCCTAGATTCATCCGGTTCAGTACTTTACATGTTCTAAAAGTCAGAATCCTGAAAGCTGACCAGATCAAATGACTTGTTTCTCTACTATATTATGATTTATGAACTATGACGTCTACGATTCATTGTTTTTAAAGCATATGATTTCATAGAAAATGAAATTAAATAAGAAACTCACCAGTCGTAAACGGATGGAGAGTTTGGGTGGGTCGGTTTATCAAAGATGTTGGAACCGATGGACCTTGTGGCGAGGTTGCTTCCCGGATTAAAAACACTCCTCCACACGTTATCCTTATGTGGCGTCGTCGGAGTGGTCGGAGTGGTCGGAGTAGTCGGAGTTCCGGGGCTCACTACCGCCGGCATAGTCAACGACTTGTGCATCGTCTTTTTGTTTCCTTCTCCTATATCTTTCCATATTCACATAATTAATAGTTAGTTATGTTTCTAAATTCTAATCAACCTAGAAAGTTATTATCATATGCAGACCATATATATATATACCTCGGATGTTAATGGGTTGGGTGGTGATTTTACGGAGGCGGCCAAGGCCACGGTCTGGTTGAGGTCCGGCCACCACATCATCCCAAAGCTTCTCTAGCAGAACCATCTTTTAGTTACTTAGTTTCACTTTTTTTTCTTCTTTTTGTTGTTGTGATCTTAAGTGATTTTCTTTTGTAGAGAGGGATGTGGAGTGAAACGCTTTTGGTGGTGGTTTATGACTTTTATAGACACCTTCTCAAAATATCTTGATTTATGTGTATATTATAATTGTTTTTTTTTTCAATTTTACTACTGGCCTCGCCATTTAAAAAGTTTGGTGATTTTAATATATACTGATTGCTATTATAGGGTTGGGCAAATCTGAAAAATTTGGAAATCCATAATTTTATAAAGCAAAGCAAATAGTAAAATTTAATATCCGTTAAAAACAGAGCAAATTACAAATACTAAAAAATATTAAGACGCGCTTCGCTCCGGTATAAATATATATATGTATATATAAATAGAGAATAATTCATATAAAGTATATAATTATTATATATAAATGTAATTTTTGTGAGTTTTTGTTTATAAATTGATTATTATAAATATTAAAACTTAATAAATTAAAAAAATATATATTTTTTAAGAAAATATTGTTATTTTTAGCTAAATTTTAATTTTTTAATTTTTATTTTAAATATATTATTATTTAAATATTTTTATGGGGCTGATTGGATATCTAGCAAATATTCAAATTTTTTGCGAATATCCAGAAAACGGATATCCAAATAATTATGGAGCAGATACGGATCGGAAAAATGATTATCTGAACGGAGCGGAGCAGATCATGGATATCCCCAAAATCCCAAGATATCTGCGTTCACCCCTAATTGCTAATGTAATCAGTTTATTTTTCAACTACCACGCCAAATTTTGTATTTTAATCTAATTTGACCAATGTTTAGTTTCTTACTAGTTACTACAATCAGACGATTTAGCGTTGAAATTCATACTGATTTTTAAGATCTGTGAAAAAAATGAGTTATTATATCATTTTAGACCAAAACAGTGAATATTTAATCGTTAGGCCTTAAATTTACTTTTACGATGTAGTATGCTTTTACCTATGGTAGTCGTGTTGAATCAGGAATATTTAAACTATAGTAATAAGTTGGATAATACTATTTTATGACAAAAGAAAAGGAGTGAGGAGGGTAAACAAATAGAGAAGTGCAAGCCTGCAAGGTGGTATGTGATGGAGATGTAGATAAGGATGATGAGTCATGAAATGGGACCTATGAACTAAAGTATCCTAAGACTCGAGATCCGTGAAAATATCATAATGTAATATAGTATTTCTTATCTATTTCTCACAAGATGGTAATTGTGAAGGTTCATCAAATTCAAAACACCTAATTTTCACCTTTTTCAGAGTCATACTAATTTAGTGCTCTCGTAACCACTTGTAGACTCTTGTATAAATGAATCGTGAATAAGTTTAAGAATCCATGCATTACATTCATTTCAAATCAATTTTACTCGTTTAGCAAAAGGAGTAACAACAACAAAACTGACTTGTCTCATCTCTATTTTCACAAATTTAAAGTGTTAATACTAAATAAAATCATCATCCCTAGTTGGGGGAAATATTTTCACAAATCTATCATCACTCACAAATGTCCAAAACCATGGGAAGTTGTCTCGATAAGGGCGGCCATTATTGAGACCCACAGTGAAAGTGAAAAGATAGCGAGTGTGAGCGACGCGTGGGCTGTCAGGAGTGCCATCACTGTTGCATCACATGACTCTTTTTTTTACCCAAGATCAAAAGAGTATTTTATCTCACGACCATAGAGAATCTTACGCGATTCCTATACAAAACTAATATAGGATATAAGTTACAGCATAAAAAAAAGATAGTGTATTCAGAGGAGGATCGAGAGTCTTCCCCATCGTGTTTGAAGATTGCAAGGTTTACATCGCGACTTCAGAATTTAATTGGTTTACAAAGCCGAAATTCATTCCTCGAGCCAAGTGGCCAACTCATAAGATTGTTTTTGCAGCCAAGTGGCCAACTTAAGTTGTAGGAAAATAGACTTCTAGGCTCAAGCCCATGTATTATCAATCTTTTAAATGGCCCATTTGTTGTTGAGTTTTATTGATTGGGAGACCTAAATAATAACCAGTCTCCAGTCTTCTAATTTTATGAATATCATTAGAAATAAAATGTTTAGATTTGATATAAAGAGCATAATCTAGTACTTGTTATTTGTTATCTAGGCAAAAAAAAAAAAAAAAAAAAAGACAAGGAAATAACATTTTGTGAATAACTTGGTTGTGACCATCTCAGCCATAAGGACAATGGGAATAACTTGTTTTTTTTGCTGTTCGAGTCTTTTTTTCATTGTTGCATTGTGTTTTCAATTATTACTGTGGAATACCTCATAGCTTTGGCCTAAAAGACATCGGTAAAGATGTAAAACATATGAATACTAGAATACTATTATTACTACATGAAGATTTCAAAAGAACGTTGTTAAAATTCACAAGCTGCTAATAACGATATATTGTATAAGAGAAACCCATCATAGAAAAACAATCGATAGAAGAGAAACGAGCAGCCAAGATAAAATGAAAAAAAAAAGAAGGAATATAATTGTTTTTCTGATCCTGATGTAGAACATTGGAATTTTCCTTAGAACTTGAATACAAGAAAACCAGTCACAGTTACGTAGTTAACACACTTTCACCATTTAGAGTAAAGAAGTCCAACATTCGGTATTAGGTGAGCAATATTTCGACTACATATATTACAAAACTATAGGGTTTATAGTTTCATAAAGAAAGTGATTGTATAGTTAGAATTTAGAAATGCTTTCAGTTATATAAAAGTAATAGAAAGATTTGTGGCCACGATTTCTTCTTTTGGCCCGACGACTCGAGGTGGGAAATTCTTTTAATGCTATCCCGATGATTGCGCATCAATCAAGGTCAATAAAGTCAAACTACCCTAACTATATAGATTACGACTTTCGAGCATTCTCAGCCGTCCGATATAATGGAGGGGGTATTTTTGTCCTTTTAATTAACTCCTACCATTTCCGATGACCCTGAGACCGCCGGAATGTTTCGTCACTTGCCATTTTCGTTGTCGGCCCACCAAAATCTTACCGTTGTTATTACTTATTAGTACAATATAACTGATTTCTTTTCTTTTTTTTGAAGAACATAAATATAACTGATTTCTTTTTTTTAAGAACATAAATATAACTGATTTGTTTCTAATTATTGATTACAACTAAAAAAGTCTACAAATAACTACCTCGCTCCACGGACTCCATAATATCATAGCATTAGCATATACCCATAAATCGATACATTGAAGTTAATATAATACAAATGTAAATCCATCACAATCATCTAGTACATTACTACAACTTATTTATTCTAACTAATTCTTATCATGTCACTGTGGTTTAGTCAATATGTTGAAAGTGTGAACTCAAACCATTGGTTTTACAAACACTAAACCCAAACATGAAGTGAACCAGAACTGGTTAGTTGCCAAGTTTCTATCGGCTTGATTATATATTACAAAAAGAATCATAATACAAGTTTATAAAAGTTGTGTTCATGTGGTAAACTTGTGAGCGTTGTATCTTCATCGTGAAACTTTAATTTCATATCACCACAATCCACAACTCAGGAGTAATATTTTATGCTAGAAGATTTTTCATATTTTTTGGATTCCAATATAAACCGGGATCAGAAACACCGATTGATATAAACTCTTAAAACAATTTGTGTGTGTCATGATCATCCTTTTATTTCTTTATGTTTCTTTTCGATTTTCCTTAGATCTGTTCTCGCGTTTTTTCAATTGTCTGTTCTTGGATCTCAGTGTCAACTAATCCAACTGTGAAATGGAAGACTTCTTTTTCGGAAAAGTTTCTTCACGGACTCAAAAACATCAAACATTTTAAAATGGACCTAAAAAATATTGTTAACTAAAGAATTAATCTTGAAAAATGTGATTAGTAACTTGTAAAAGGTGATTAATGCGCAATCCAACGGTACAGATAATGATAGTATCCGCTATAGCACACATTTGAGCCGTCAGATGACAATTCTCCACTTTATAATATAGTCTTCATCGAGAAGAAAAACAAAAACAAAGAAAAATAAAATAAGAGAGGTGGGAGCATTTAATCTCTAATTTAATTCAATTAAATATTCACTGCCGGAGCTTTTTACCTGCACTCACGTCCCCTTGCTCTCTCTCTCTCTCTTCCCTCACTCTGCAGAATAGAAAAAGAAACAAACGAACAAAAATAAAGTTGTTCAATGGAGAAATGAGACTCTGCACAGATTCGTGAGATAAATTTGGGATTCCGAAAGATCAAAGATGCTTCGATTTGTCCTCGCATGTCTTCTCATCTTGTCTTTTCGTCTCCCTTCTTCCTCTGCTCGACCAGGTTCGATCTTGAACATTCAGTTTACGATATTTGGGAACTTTCTTGTTTGCTCTTAGTTCCAAGTTGATATATGGTTCTTTCTCCTCCGGATTCGAATTCTTGACTTGCATTTCCACTTGGGTTCCCTTTCTTTTTTGTTCCTCTGTCCTTGTTTTCACCGCTTTTGTCGATCAAAAGTTTCATCTTTGGATTCAGAATTATTGTTTCTTCAGCTCAAATTCTCTTGAGCTGGAACTCATTTGTTGAAATTAATAGCTGAAGATTTACGAGTTGCTATTTCTTGAACACGTATTAGGTACTTGAGTAGTTTTAGTATTCTTACTCGATTTTCAACAAATCGATCTGCGTGGTTTTAGCGAATTTTCTTAGATTGCTCTGTTTCTTAGCTAGAGCTGGTTCAATGTTCCGTGAAATAGTTTCGTTTTCAGTATGTTTTTACTCTAGGAACATGTTTCATGGAGTTTGTTGAGTATCTCATATTCTCCATGAACCAAGTTTAATCGTTTTCTTGCAACTTGCAGCACCATATGCCTTGCGGATCAGCTGTGGAGCTCGAAAAAACGTTCGAACCCCACCAACGTACGCACTTTGGTACAAGGATATCGCGTATACAGGAGGCATACCTGCAAATGCAACATCACCTAGCTACATAACTCCTCCTTTAAAGACGCTTCGTTACTTCCCAATCTCCGAGGGTCCAAACAACTGCTACAACATCGTCCGAGTTCCCAAGGGACATTACTCTGTCAGGATCTTCTTTGGATTAGTTAACCTTCCTAACTTTGACAAAGAGCCTCTCTTTGACATCTCTATAGAAGGGACTCAGATTTCTTCTCTGAAATCTGGTTGGAGTAGCCATGATGACCAAGTATTCGCTGAAGCTCTCATTTTTCTTTTTGGTGGGACGGCTACAATCTGTTTCCACAGTACTGGTCATGGAGATCCTGCCATACTTTCAATTGAGATTCTCCAGGTTGATGATAAAGCTTACAACTTTGGTGAAGGCTGGGGCCAAGGAGTGATTCTAAGAACAGCCACAAGGTTGACTTGTGGTACTGGGAAGCCAAGGTTTGATGAAGATTATAGTGGGGATCATTGGGGTGGTGATAGGTTTTGGAATCCCATGAGATCTTTTGGTAAGAGTGCTGATTCTCCAAGATCTACTGAGAATACCATCAAGCAGGCTTCTGTCTCGCCGAATTTTTATCCTGAAGCACTGTATCAGTCAGCTTTAGTCAGTACTGACGACCAGCCTGATTTAACTTACAGTTTGGATGTGGAACCCAACAGAAACTATTCAGTGTGGTTGCACTTTGCAGAGATTGATGCTACAGTCACTGCTGAAGGGAAAAGAGTGTTTGATGTTGTGATAAATGGTGATACTTTTTTCGAAGATGTTGATATCATCAAGAGGAGTGGTGGCCGATACACAGCACTTGTTCTCAATGCTACAGTGACTGTGAGTGGAAGAACATTGACAGTCGTTCTACAACCCAAGGCAGGAGGTCATGCTCTTATTAATGCCATCGAGGTCTTTGAAATCATAACTGCTGAGTTTAAAACGTTACGCGATGAAGGTACATATTCTTTCATGGACATTTTTAACTCTTTAAGGTTGTTCTTTCATTGCTGTTTCTTTCCGATATTCTCATAGTTCCCTTTGGTTACTTGAAAACAAAACATGTGTGCTTCACTGTTTTTCTACTGTTGACAGAATGGAATTTGGTTTTAAATGTAATATGATTCAAGTATATTCTTATGTGTAACAAGTATGATGTTGGAGAAAACTTCCCAGTCACTCATGGCTTATTCTTCGAGCTGGTTGTTTGCTTTTTATATCATGGAATCATAATTGTATTTAACATCTTGTATCTTGCTCGCCATTTTCTGTTTCAGTCAATGCGTTACAGAAAATGAGAAAAGCTTTAGGACTTCCTTCAAGGTTTGGATGGAATGGTGATCCATGTGTTCCCCCACAACATCCATGGAGCGGAGCTGATTGTCAGCTGGACAAGAACACCAGCAGATGGTTCATTGACGGACTGTATAGCTCGTTTCTCTTCTTTTGTGCATTTACATATTCTTATTATGTTTAGGCATCTTGTTAGTTAAAGGATCTTTCTTTGAGTCTCTGGTCTTGATCAGATTTTTTATATTTTTTAATTGACAAACTTTTTTTCTGTGTGTAGTGATCTTGATAACCAAGGTCTGAAGGGTTACCTGCCAAACGACATATCAAAGCTAAAACATCTTCAGAGCATGTAAGCCATTGAATTATTCTCATAATATGCAATGTTAGTTGAAGTCTCTACGAATATTGTATTTGTATGTAAACGAACAATTTTGTTATCATCTCTTACTAAAATGGCTCATCTAATGAAGAAAGAAGTCAACTTTTCTTCCCGCATATGTGGAAGCTCCCTTGCAGCAAAAGCTTCTTGATCAAAACGTTTTAGGGATTCCATATTTATATTCTGTCCATGTTTCAGAAACTTGAGTGAAAACAGCATTCATGGAGGAATACCTGCATCGCTTGGAAGCATTACGAGCTTGCAAGTATTGTAAGTAATTGACTACTTTCTGTGCTCAACCTTTCGATTCTGAACTCTGAAACCGAAACCTTATGCTTCTTCTGCAGGGACCTCTCATACAACTCTTTCAATGGATCTATCCCTGAAACATTAGGAGAGTTAACATCCTTGCGGATTCTGTAAGTTCAGGCCCATGTCAATTTTTAATGGCCAGTGGAGCTAGTGTGGTCAGCAAATATTAAAACCATCTAATTGTCACAGGAATCTCAACGGGAACTCTTTGTCAGGAAAAGTACCAGCAGCTGTAGGTGGAAGGCTGTTGCACAGAGCAAGCTTCAAGTAAGAATATTGAAGACTTTTAAGAAGTGTTTTGGATTTGGCAAAAACCACACACTCAAAGCACCATTGAATGTTTCTCTATTTCTGCAGCTTCACAGATAATGCAGGTCTTTGCGGAATCCCGGGGCTTCCAGCTTGTGGGCCTCACCTTTCTTCCGGAGCCAAGATAGGGATTGCATTCGGTGTTAGTCTAGCATTCCTTTTGATCGTGGCATGTGCAATGATATGGTGGAAAAGGCGACAAAACATTCTTCGGGCACAGCAGATTGCAGGTAAAATCATTTCGTCTTTTGATGGAAGTTTACTGCTTATTAATCTTTGAGAGAACTTTTATGAGCTGCACTGTAAAAATCTTGCAGCAAGAGGAGCTCCTTATGCAAAAAAGAGAACACATGTATCTCATGATATCCAAATGTCACGGCATGGGCACAATAACCACGGCCAAGCTCGTACTGCTGTCGAAAATGGACCGAGCTTGTTGTCTTGATTCACTTCTCTGGGAGTTTCATTCTTATCTGGTTTTTTTCATCAACACGAATCACAAACCTGCAAGGTATCGGAATGTTCATACGGTGTCTACCACATTGGTCCTCACAAGGAAAAAGAGCGAGACATAGCAAGAGAAAGACCCTTCTTATAACTCTAGACTGGCTCAATGCAAAGAGGAAATACATTTGTAAATCATCTTGGGATTCTTCTTAATTCTCGCAATATGCAGAATCAGTTCTCATAGATATAGGATTCGATTTTTCTCGTTTATTTTGTGGGATTAGTCCCTTTGTTTCTTTTGTCTGATGGGAGTTTAGAGGAAACTAAGAACATAGTTAAAAAGCAAAGAAGTAAACTACATGTTCGTCGTTGCAAGCGTTCTTATGGAGTTTTGGCTACTAAGAAAGCTTGCAATTTTAGTAAAGTTTAATAGAAGCGAGCCTCAGAGATTAGGGATTAAGAAACCAAATTTTGTGATTTTATTGTCTCAGCAGACAAGAATTATAGACTTTACAAGTACCAGAGTTATTTATTATATCATTAAACTTTCTTCATTAGATAATAAATCCAGTCACACATTAAGATATACAACAACCAAAAATCCTGTAAACAGCTTTTTTAAAGAGAAGAAAATCCAAAATTTCCCAATTTCTTCCATCAGAAAAGATCTCTCAGAAATACAAACATTGTTGGTACTGAGCTTCGCTTCTCTTCAATTTAAAGCTGCTTGTTTTGTGCAACGAGAAGAACCACGACTATGTTTATGATAGGAAACAAGGTAAATGGGACGTTGCAGAGAAAGCAAGCACAACTGTGTGTGTGATAGAGAATGTATCGTATTATTGTGGTAGACAAAGTTGCTTGTGGTATGACGCGAAGCGTGAAGAATGGAGAGTGGTTAGGTTTGGCTAAGTTAAATTGGCTCTAATTGATGATAAAGTGATCACAGTGAATTTATAAAAAAAAAAAAAGTAAGCACAAGTGACGTGGCGAATAGTAAAGAGCTAATGGTAAAAAACGTTAAGAGTCTCTCTAAACACAACGCAACAAAATAGTCAAAAAAGAGGCGCGAAAGTCAGATCAGGTGAAGAAGGGATTCATGGAATGAGAGAAAGACACATCAGCATCAAAAGGCCATCGTATTCATGATTTCGTGTGTAATGTGTTATAATAAAAAAAAAAGCAACTCTGTTTCTGTAGGCAGTCAGCACTTGATGGTCCTTTGTCTTCTCTCTCTTTCAATCTCTTTCTTCTCTAGAGCTAGAGAGAGAGAAAGAGGTAAGCTGCAAGAACAACAACAAAAAAGGACACGTCATAAGTCTCTAAGTAACCACAGGGTCACGTGAACACGAAAGCCAAAAACAATTTATCTATAAAACAATTTCTTGAAAATGATCGTTTTCTTTTAGCTTTGGGATAGATTCTTTAATTTTTTTTTTAACGTATAGGGTTAATTTAATAAAGTAATAATAATACTACTACTAGTTTGTCAGAAGTCAGACATCAGAGTACGCACGTGTAGAAATTTTGTTAGATATGGACCAAAGCATTTGTTCACTCAAAACGACAGAGGCTAAGCCTTGTCACGTGAAAGGAAACACACTTGGCGCGTGCTTTTCACGACCCTCTCTTCTCATCTTACAATATTCCTCCCCTCTTCTTCTGCAGTATTTGATATTTTTCTCGTTGGTATTTTTTAAAAAAAAAAAAATTCAGACAACTAATCTATGCTTAACAACCCAAATATGACGACAAAAAAATAAGCAGCCCAAATATCGATTTTCTTTCCGGCTAAAGTTAAGGGTTTAGAGCTAAAGTTAAGGGTTTAGGCCGTTCATAGTTTACTTTTTTTTGTAAAGCATTGTTTTATTGATAAAGTTATTTTCATTATATTTGACTTCAACTGTGTCAAAGTTTATACTTAAGAAGTTATGAACTTATGATTAATACTAAACTTGAATTTTTTCAAAAAGAATTCGTTTTTGTTTTAATTTTTTGGATAAATTTAAGCATCCTTTATTTATATATATTGTGTGAGGAAATATATACATAAAGGCTAGACTATAAGTGCATCTACTTGCAAAGAAAAAGAACCTATGTGATGTTATCTCTTTGGTCAGCAGTTACATCAAATGGCTAATTATTTTTGGACAAAAAGAAAAACAAAATCAGTCAGAGCAGCTATAGATAGAGTGGTTGTGTCAAGCTCCTTTATTTAATGATCTCCTTGTAGCCTCGCCCTCGTGCATCATAATAACCTCATAAATATTAAAAAATATTTATAGATATAAAATCAAAACGAGTAAAGAAAGATTATTATAAAAGGAAGTCGAAATAGAGAGAGGGCTAAAACACTAGGGAATTACGTCAGCATCCCTATGCACAAGTCCAGTCAAAGAGGCGGCCCATTTTCTTTCTTCTTCGTTAACTACAACATTTTATTTTATTTTCTTTAATAAAGTTTTGGCTCTCATTGCTCTGAAAAAAGCATCCACGTTGCTACCAAGCCTACGATCAATTTAGAACTTGAATTTGAGTTTATATAAGTTTAGTAGTTTTTTTGTCCAAATAAATTTAGTTATTATGTTGTTTCTTCAACTACAATATATTAGTGTTTTCATCAAATATTAAAATGATTACGTTTGGTCTATTACATTATTTACGAAATTTTGATCTGAACCCTAGTCTTTCTGGGATTGACAGATTTCACAAGAATCGAATGCTCCAAACCTTAAAACATTTTACTATAAATATTTTGAATAATCCTTACATATCCACTTCATATTAACTCGACAACAAGACAACCCTTGATTCAACAGTGACTATTTTGTTTTTGTTTTTGGAAGTGTCAGTGACCAGTTTGGTTAAAATAACAGTGACTAACACGTCTTTTTTTTTTATGTACTCATGCTACCGAACATGTTCGAACACTTCTTTTTTTTGTTCTATCGAATCCACAAACTCGCTTATAATATCGAAAAATCTCAATATTTTTTTTCTCAATACTGAAACTAAGTATGAAAACGGGAATAAAAGGAAAAGTTAAAAAATAATTAAAAAAAATACTGAAACTAAGTATGATATACCTTTTTGGTATAATCCGCCTATAAAAAATATGATTAGTTGTGTTAATTACAGTTTCAAACGAACCTTGAAAATAAGCTACTTTTTTATATCTTTATAATGGTAGCATAAGTTATACAGTACGGCGCTATACTCATTAGCAATGTTTTCTAAGTATCTATTATATAAAGACTCAGTTGAGTCTCACAAACTTAACACATCAATACTCATTTGAATGACACATCAGTTCATTTATTTGTTATTTAAAAACTATAATGAAACTCTAATTAATTTAAGCTAATTACTTTTATGTTCATTTTTCTGTGCACTAATTTATTTACCATCATAAACCTCATGGCTTTTTGACTCCCATTTTAGATGCTTCATATTCTTAATGATGCTTCAAACGTTGTTTTAAATATTAGTCACTCATGTTTCAACGCATAAAAAATAATCAGCAAATATAGAAGAGAAGACATGGAAAGAAGTAAATATTACCTAAGATTTTCTAATAAATCTCTAATCTACAGCTTCCACGTTGTAACTTATGCAAATTTCTATATAGAAGCTTACGAAACTGAATGTTGTTCACAAATCCACGGTCTAAAATTTATTTCTTGGTCATGGGTAGAGACATCTACATTTAATACCATCGTTTGATTTTGTATGATGGTTTCGAGAATTCTGTGAAGAGTAAATAGCAAGACAAAGCTATAATAATAATTTTTAAAATAATAATAATTCGGCGATGAACCTATAATAATAATTTCTAAAAATTTTGTTTTAAGTTAAGCTGGTGTAAGTTATCTATTCTATTTATTTTTGTTAGAGAAAATTTTAAGGGAGAAAAATAATACTCTGAAATACCTATTACATCCATTAGTAAATTTTTTAATATCTATGTTTTTACAAGAAATGATAAAAATCTCGTCTCAATGAATTATAATTAAAGAAATCTTTGTGGAGAAAAAATAAATATCATTTATATCATTTTATGTGCATGAAATGTAGTTTGTTTTATCTCCATCAGATCTTGGAGTTGGAGTATTGGTTCTCCCAAGTACTGCAATAAAAAACCACTGGACCGGCAAAAGCCAAATCCGATGGTGAAAATGGAGAAAGACGTATTTGGTAAGCTTTTACGATAGCTGGTCATGCTTATCTAAAGTTCCAAACTCTACCTGTGATGCAAAAGATAATATATAGTATGAAGTATCACAGATTTTCATGCTATATTCATTTCCTAACTTTTCTAATTTTAGTGGAGATTGTGATGGATTTTGCCAATGAGAATAAGAAAATTTTATGGAATAAAGTTATCCATTTATTTTGAGAATATACCTCTTAGGTTCCTAATCATAATAATTAGTATTTGCTGGATTCTCATATCTTTGTTTATGATGTTCAAGATAATTTTCCACGTTTAATTGAAGACAACGTTTTTTAGTAGAGAAATTTTCTGATAAGATTTCATAAAACCAAAGCAAAAGTCGAGAAAAAAACTAATTAAAACAAAATCACTTTTAAAAAAATAAGTTAACAACTAATCTCTCTAAACATATATATGGTCAGTCCAAAAAAACCAAAAATTTCGATTTTTTTTAACATCACCAAAAATCTAAATTAAATTTCAGTTTTTTTTTGTTTTTGATCGACAGTCTAGATACCTAAAAAGGTTCTATTACCCAAAGCGAAGATATCAAGTTTATGTAAATAATAATTTGTAGGTGGACACAAGTGCTTCTTGCTAGAATGTTTGCTTTCGAATTTTTCAGGCGTGAGATATGTGATATAGTGAAGGAATTGTAAACTAAAATTTAAGTATAAAACTAAACTTCAGTTTTAAACATTATCAAAATATTAAAAAGAAAATCCACGCATATGCGTGGATATTCATCTAGTGGCAGTAAAGAAGCAATAGTCTTTCGTTTGCTTTAAAAGTTGTTAAGTTATCACTAAGCTAGGCAACTAGACTGCTAAAACCATTTTTCTTATCTTGAAAATTCGTCATCCGTCAAAACTTAAATGCGACCAGCTGAAGAGCGGAACTTTGGTTCTAACATTTACGTTCAACATAAGTTATAAGTTATAAACAATAGATCGAAAGCGATTTGTACGCCGTTAAAATCAATCACTTTATAAAATATCTTACTGTAAAAACGATATTACAATTTTAATACATTCAGTTATTAAAAAAAATGTTGCAAGAGCACCCACTTGTAAAAAACCTCTGAACATACCACAGTCACATCACCTAACAAGCAAATGATCGAACGGTGCTTGATTCTTGAAAACATCGAACCTAGACATCAAATATCCAGTTTTGTTTTCTGTTTGGCCAAAATAAATATTGAGTATGGCTTTGATTGGTAATTTGCGGAATGACAGAATTGCGTTTTTAAACACAATTCCGCAGGTTTTTTGCCAATCAACAAAAATCCGCGTAATAAAAAAATACGCACAGAAATGCAGACTGCGTTTTTACTTAACAAAAATACAAAGGAAAAGTCATTCCGCAGAAAAGCGACTTATAAGTCGCTTAATCTTTTCTGCAAGATTTTTTCCGCAATTCCGCCATTCCGCAAAGTTACCAATTAAAACCTATATCTTATTAATAAAATAAATATGAAAAAAATGGATAGATAGTTTATAAACTTACTTATAAGAACATCTGTAACGGCAGTTTTACACAGGTTTTAAGGTGGGGTTTGTAAGTTTTTTGGATTTAAAAAAAATGAAAAAAGCCCAATATCTTGTGAACCGGTTCTTGTTTTAGAGTTTTTGGAGACTGTATTTAAAAGGGTTCATAAGTGACGTGTGTGCTTCTCATTCGTTCAACAAGAACATTTTTTTGATGCTCTCTCTCCTCTTCCACTTTCTAAGGTTCTTCGTTTGTGTCGACGTTTATTTCTCCTCTTCTAGCCACGATTTTTCTCTGGTGATTTCAGATCATGGGCTAAAAAAATGAAAGCTTTGCATGAATCCACTTGAAAAAGAGCTGGGATTTTCATTGGAATCAAAGCATCACTCTTTCCTCGATTATTGTTACAAATCGAACCGACGGTAATGCCGGAGACTCAATTCTGAGAGGAACAATTCCTTTCTGGTTAAACTGCCAAACCAATTCATTCATTATATAAAATCAAAACCGAGAACATCATACTTGAGATCACTGTTCTTCTTTTGCTTCATAGTTTGTGAAGGAAAATTAAACAAAAAAATTTTAGATTTCATCAAACCCATTTTGAGAATTTCTAATGAAGTTTACCATTGGAGGAATAAAAAACTGTAGAGTTCTAAACCATTCCTTAATCAAATATAAATTATTAAAAAATAGCTATGAATCCCAAGAGGAGGTTCACCATTGGTGTTCTAAATCGTCAAAGAAGCCGAGGATTACGGGTGTCTCAAAGTGGGCCCATAAACACCTCTTCTTTTTAAACTCTCTCTCTATCTCTCTCTCATTTGGGTCAAACGAGTCAACAAAGCAAAAACTCTTTCTTCTCTACTCTCTCTCTCTAGATTCTCGCGTTTCCTCTGCAGAGATTCTTAAAGAATGGCGTCGACGACTTGCGCGAGGGAGGTGCATTACAGAGGAGTAAGAAAGAGACCATGGGGTCGTTACGCGGCGGAGATTAGAGATCCATGGAAGAAAACTAGGGTTTGGTTAGGCACTTTCGACACTCCCGAAGAAGCCGCTCTCGCTTACGACGGCGCCGCCCGTTTCCTCCGTGGAATCAAAGCCAAGACTAACTTCCCTTCTCCTCTCTCCCTCGATCTCAACCACATCCCTTCCGCTCCCTCCTCCGCCACCGCCTCCGCCGCTCCAGATAACCAAAACCACCACCTTCAACACCAACACCAACACATCTGGTTCCCTGCCCCTCCTCCTCCGATTCCCGACCAACACCAACACCACCGAATCTTTCTCCGAACCGGAGTGCTCAACGACAAAACTTCCGATTTTCCTTCTGCAGAAGCGCCGCTTTACTATACTGCCTTGCCTGCCGCTGCTGCCACGTCATCGCCTCGAGTGGTTGAGTTTCCGATGATGAGTTCTTCTCCTTCCTCTGCTACGGTGCGACGTGGTTTAGCCATTGACCTCAACGAGCCGCCTCCGCTTTGGCTGTGAAGCAAACGACCAAGAAGATGGCTGATGTAACGGCGGCATTTGTGCTGACTTTCCTACACGGCGCCGTTTTGAACACTTTCGGCGGAACTATTGTTTAACTTTTAGTTTCTTTTTTAGCAAATATCTTTTATTTTAGAGTAGTATGAGTAGTTTAATCTTTTCAATTTGTCCCCTTTTTTGTTTTGTTATGTAAGAGACGGATATCGATTGTTATGATCCTTATTGCGGCTAAACAAGAAACTTCTTAATTAACACTTCTTCATTATTATTAGTTAGCATTGTATATATTTTCTTATTAGTATGTTTCGAATGATTTGAAAATGGATCTAAAGAAAGTTATCATTCGATGTTGTGGATTGTTACGACCGTCGCTTATGTCGGTTTCGAGGGGATTTTTAACCTTATCGTATTCTATGGCGTGTCGTCAAGTACGGACTGACTTGTGTAGATCTTTACTTTGCGTCTTGTTTTGACTCACGCGCCTCTCCTAACACGACAAAAGACTGAGAAAGAAAGAAACAGACAAAAGAGATAGAGACTAATGAGAGATGTAAAGACAGAGCAAGCGTGTGAGTTTGGACTGCCATTTTCACTTACGGACAAGATATGTATGTATTATTATCGGTTGTAAATAGTTTCTTTTCACTTTACGAGAATGATATTAAAATTAGTTTGCTTTTTTAATGAATCACACATATAATATATATATCCGTTATTTACGATAAGCAACCTTATTGATCCCGAAAATTACTTAAATATAGTAGAACCACAAATAGAACAATTCAAAAGTTCTTTTTAGATATTTGCTTATGTTTTCTATATGTCAATTGTAAGCCAATTCGTGTAGCTATAAACTTACACAAAAGTACGAGACTAAAAAACATTGTGTCACGGATTACATGTGTAAGTCGTATGTAATAACTAACCAAAGTTCATTCATTTAAAAAAAAAAAAATAGGTTTAGAGGAATTCTTTAAATTAGTAATCTAATCTTTATATTAAATTATAATAATTATAAGGGACCCTAATTATAGTTATATTTTATGAATAGATTTTTGGATCTAAGAAATCGGTTGTATATTTGGAATTGACGAACTCTCTGCATGTGTTTCTGCAATGACATTGAAGTAACCTAATTTCCGTTTGGGCTCTTCTGAGGACCCCACGCATCGTCGCCTGACTTCGCTTGTGTTTTACAAAACAATTTTAATTTTGGGTTATTTTTCTTTAGTTGTTTACTATAATAGCTGTTTATTTTGGTTCTTCTTTGCAAGTCTCTTCTTGTTGTCTCTCCACTACCTCCTAGTTTTTTTGTTGTATTCATAACCTAAGTATTATTTAACCAAAGTCTATTAAATTACAGTTTAGAGCTGTTTACGTTACTTATTAATTGACCACAAAAAATGTTTTACTTAAAAGTGTGGCGGCAGTGGCCGACCATCATTTTGAGATGTTTTTTTATGATGTCTTTTGCGTGTCTAAAATGGTTCGAAGATAGTCCAAAAGGAATCCCAACAAAAATCAATCCGTGGTATTGGGGAATTTTGGTTTCTGGTTTTAATTTTTGTTTTCTTCAGTGAATATTGTGCCTATTTATTTATAGAATTAGATAAAAGCCGGATCTCTTCAAAAATCATTCATTTAGCTCAAACACTTTTTAGAATGGAAATATCAATATTTCATCTCGTTATGTTACATGAAAAACAAAGGACATCAAATAGTTGACATTTGACAGGAAATTGTTGGTTTTTGGAATGGAGTAAATCCCAACAAGCATAACTTACAGAAAATTAAAAAAAAAAACACATTACTTTTCCTTTTTGAATTCAAACTATAATTTCAAAATTGGATGTGGTTATATGGGCCAAAAGATCAGATGGGCTATAAAGATCCATGTTCAATTTCAGTTTGTGTTAATTTCCTTGTTTTGCTGTTTAAGTTACTGAAAATTGACCCAAGTTTCAGTAGGTAGGAGGAAATTGGAACTTCTCTTGTCTGTTTAAGACATTTAGTTATGGTCTCCCATAGTCCCATAATCCCATTGCAAAACAAGTCCAACCTTGCCGTCGAATTAACCAGTCGGATTATTTGAGGCAGCAAAATTTTGTTTTTGACCAATAATCCGGCAGAAAAATCCTTTTTTTCACAATAACCCCATTGTCCTAAATCATGCTTTTCCCTCAAATCAACAATTGGATACGATTTAAGACTTTTTTTTAAACAAAAATAAGCATGTGTTATTCAAAAGATTGATGCCAAAACAAAGTATTATTTTCTGTTGATCAGAAAAAAAGAGAGTTACAATTAAATGATAAACAACAGCAGATGAGAGCACTAATAATTCATTTTAAATTTTCTGCTGACCCAAAAAAAAAAAAAAATTTGGCACCAACTTAGTAAGACACGACGACAAGCTCAATCTAAGTTTTATCAGATACTTGATTTCAAATTTCAGAACTTTTTTTAATTCATCTAAAAATCATAAAAATTAGTTCTCAGGCTTGGGAGGGAAATTGAGATCCAAATCCAAACACACACGTCGTCTCTCAGGACTTTGATCCATCACCACAGACGACGAATCCGATTCACTCCTCGCCGATTCGTCGTGGTCGAACACGATCATCCCAGACTTGACCTGAATCTTCGGGAAAGGGAATCTGGAATTGACGGATCCGAGATTGAGATCGGGAATCGACGACGACGATGATTCGACGGTGCTGCTTTGGCTCGGGCTCTCGCCGTCGGGGAAAGGATGAGTGAAATTGGTTTTGGCTTTAGCGCCACGGAACCGAAGAGCGGCTTTGTCGTAGGCACGAGCCGCCGCTTCTGGAGTGTCGAAAGTGCCGAGCCAGACTCGAGTCTTCTTCGTCGGATCTCTGATCTCGGCGGCGTAACGACCCCATGGCCTCTTTCTTACTCCTCTGTAACGGTTTTCTTTGATTCCGCCGTCTCCGCCGTTAGTTTTAACGGCCGCCGTTTTAACTGTCGGCGCCATTTAGACAGAGAGAGAGAGAGGAAAAAAACTAATTTTGATGTATTAAAAGAGGAAATTAGAGAGAGCTTTGTGTTGTGTTGTGGTGAGAAAAAAAAGAGATTTGTGTTGGATTTATTTATAAAAAGACAGAGAGAGAGATGAAGAGACATAAAATCAGTCAAACCGCGGTTTTGACTAAAGGGCGGCTAAGTGGCAGTATCCGTAATTATTGCTAGTTACGTGGCTTCTTGTTTTTGTCTCCACGACACGAACGGGGAAAGTGAGTTTATGACTTTTTTTTTTTTGGCTTTTTTGTGGGTATTTTTCTTGAATGAGTTTAATGTGTTTTATCTACTAGTTCATATTTTAAGATTTGTAGCTAATATGAGTATTGTTTTAATTAGGGGATAATATAATGGATTTTCCAATAATTGCGTGTGGTGATCTGAAAATCAGAGAGAAGTCCACGCGCTTATTTCGGTACGTGTCGTATTTCTGCGAAACACCCAACTTTTTAGCATCACTAATATATTTTCTTCCTCTATTGGTAAGCAAACTGCATACAGACACGACGTGCTATATGATTAAAAATTTATCCTTTGAGAAAGTGCGAGATTAATTATAGTATTATACTAGTATTAAACTAAAGCTAATGTAATTTGTTACTATAACCCGAAATTATACAAACAAATCAACGATTTATGAATGATTTGTTTTCTAATAATGACTCCTACTATCGATGGTTCATGAATGACATAATGATCTAGCTAGCAGATTTTTTTTTTTCAAGTATATGATTTAGTTTATATGAAAATACTAGCTTATTAGCTAAAAAGTAAGAACCTTCCTTGCGTACTTACAAATATCCTAATCTATTATTTAGTGCATAGTAAAGATAGGGATAGTTGCGCAGCATAGCAATTTGTCAAAATTTCTCTGAAGTCTCTAAACTCAGAAAATTTAGACATTTGTCAATTAATTTTCAATAAAAATGATAATCATTTAATAAGTTAATAAATTCATAAGACCATGGTTTCTTTATTTTTTCTTTCAAAAAAAATATTCCAAGCATTTTAAATCTCTATTTTATTATTAATTGCTAATAAAGTTCTCTACTTTTCAGTTTTATAAACTTTCACCTATTTATTTTATTTAGAATAATTGTTAACCAAATTATGATTTTATATAATTTAAAATTTTATTATATAAAGAAAATTACATTACATAATGTAATAAGAACAAACCATACATACAAACAAACCATACATAAAAAGAAAAAAATACATAATATAAATAAGAACAAACCATATCATAATCTTATCATGTACTAGAGGACAAATATTTTTCCCATAAACGATCAATTAATGCATTTCGAAGAGAGAAATGAGCTTCTTTATCCTTGATTTTTCTATATCGAGCCAGAAATTCTTGGAACTGGATACTTTCATTCGCTTCTATTTCAACATCCGGAGGTGAAACTTCTCTTCTTACTTCAATTAGTGCATTGAGATCAACACTTGGAAGAAGGAAATAGACAATTTGTGGAGCAACTAAAGAAGACAAGTTCTCAAAAGCAACACCATTTAGATATTTAAAGTAAGAATTATGCTTTAAAAAAACTTAAAGAAGAAAACAAAATTCTGTTGCAAGACTTAAATTCCATAGAAGATTTGAATATCCGTTCATATGTTCAAGCTGAACAAGCACGGATTTTACAAAAAAGAGTTGAACAACAACAAAATCAACAAGCTCCTCCTTCAGCATCAACTTCATTTGGACAATATTTTAATAATTTTAATGGATCTGGAAGTAGTTTCCCAGATTATTAAGTTGTTGGTTTATGTTATGTTAATTTTATTTATTTATAAATTAGTATTAATTATGTATTTTTAATTTTGTTGTTGGTTATGTTATCGTATTTCTTAATTAATAAGTGTTATTGTATTTTTATTGTGTTTATTGCAGTTTTACTTTATAATTTGATTAGTTAAATTTATTGTTTTAAAATTAATTGGGTTAAAAAAACATTGTGTTTGGGTTTAAATCAAAACATATAAAAAAGTTAAGGATACATTTTGTAAATAAAAAAATTCATCTTTAAAAAATGAGTTGAACAACAACAAAATCAACAAGCTCCTCCTTCAGCATCAACTTTATTTGGACAATATTTTAATAATTTTAATGGATCTGGAAGTAGTTTCCCAGATTATTAAGTTGTTGGTTTATGTTATGTTAAGTTTTATAATTTAGTATTAATTATGTATTTTTAAGTTTTTTTTTGGTTATGTTATTGTATTTCTTAATTAATAAGTGTTATTGTATTTTTATTATGTTTATTGCAGTTTTACTTTATAATTTGATTAGTTAAATTTATTGTTTTAAAATTAATTACGTTAAAAAAACATATAAGTTGTGTTTGGGTATAAATCAAAACATATAAAAAAAGTTAAGGATATATTTTGTAAATAAAAAAATTTACTTTCAAAAAATAAAGAAATGAACATTGTTCCTTCATATTTGAAGAAACACTGTTCATTTCTTCATTTTGAAGGTGAAATTGAAGCACCATTAGAGAAGATTTATTCATTTTTATCTTCAAAATAAAGGAAAAAGTGAAATTTGAAGGATCATTGGAGATGGTCTAATACTGTATATAACATCAGTTTTAAGAAATTTAAAATATTTGAATAAATATCCCTCAGGACGTACAACGTTTCGCTTATGTATATAATGGGGCCAGATTGAAAGGATAGTTCTAGAAAACATTATGGTTATGCTGGTGTACATATTTCCGAACCAAAAATCTCTATAAAAAAGCTAACATACGCGATTTTATGACAAAAATTAATAATGAGTTTATTGGATATATAATCTGTATGCACGTACAACCCCAACTTCATAAAATTAGGCTGAGGTTGTCTTTGGCTATGAGTTTCACATATTATAGAATTTTTCAAAATAGACAATCCGAAGCAATATATGAAATAGAGGAATCCGTTTTAAAAAACATGATATATATGAAAGTTAAGGAATAAATATAATTTATATTATTTTTAATAGCATCTTTAATGGTTTCCCTCATTTTTTTCTCAAAATGAAGTAAACTCAAAATGAGGTAGAGTTTTACTCCAATAGTTTCCTTCATTTTTTCTCTTAAAAAGGAATATTCTAAGTATATTCTTTTTTTATTTTATTATTAGTTGCAAACAACACCCATTATTTCTAAATTTACAAATTATACCTAACTATTTTAAAAATATAAAATTTAAACAAACAAAATTCTTAGTTTATATTAAAACATTTATTACATAAAGAAAATTACATAACATGACAAAGAAAAAAATTATATTTCACGTTTTTATTTATAAAGTTAATTAATATTTATTTATTATTATGCTTTAAAAATAGTAATATTTTATTTGTATAGTAAATAAAAGTTTAAATATTTGTTTAGATATGTATATGAAATATATGTAAAACTATAAGGATCATTTTGCAAATAAACAAAGCTAAAAAATGAAATGAAGGGATGAATAGTATTCCCTCAAATTTGATGTAATACTGTTCATAAACTTATTTTTTCTCTCAAAATTATATTTCCCTCATTTTTTTATGTTTTCCCTCAAAATGAGAGATCATTGGAGATGGTCTAAAACAACAAAGCAAAGCCATATTCATAGTTGCCATCTTTCATATGATGGAATGATGGTTTGGTGCTTACCTAACTTCATCCAAACTTAAAAACTTGTGCTTGCATTGATGACCAAAATTTGTTTTTTTTATAATCAAGGTAATATGTTAAAACAAATCGAACCAATATTGCAAATACTTAAACTAGTCTCACATGCGGTTGCGGATGGCTTGAGTACACATCCATTTCGCCTAATAATTGGTAGAATAATTAAACCGTATCTAAAAACAAACATAGTTTTTCTTTTTAAAACATGATTATTTATTTATGTGCTGCTTAAATAATGACACATTTTGACAAAACAAAATAAATAATGGACACATTATATAGACCAGAGAACATAAAGATCGGGTTAAAACCAAAGACGACACAGGGCTACAAAAATGTCGGAGGACAGACACTGCTGAGAAGAATATTTTATATAGTCATCGTATTACATAATACTACCAATTTTTAATTAAAAGATAATAAATAATTATAACACAGTGTTGGGACTTTGTTGTGTTACCGCTTTCCCGGCTTTCCCACTGTTCCGATGCAATGCATTTACACCAACTTTGCTTTCAAAGTTTGATAGATTCTTCTTATCACAATTTCAAGTTTGTAATTGCATTTGGACTTTCAGGCAAACGGACCATAAGTACTCGGTCTTCACATTTTCACATAACTGTCTTTTTCCTTTTTAATATTATTATATCCAATATAGATTTTTTAATAATAAACATCCATTACAAATTTTTGATATGAAAATATTAATATTCTGAAGTATATATTAGTAACTAAAATGAAATTGATGGAATAAAGATAGATGGTATATGAAATAAAATCCTTCCATTCAATTTTCTTCATATAATTTAATATAGAAATGTATTTATGAATGCTTAATTCTACAATATATTACTCTTCGAATATGATATCCATTTGGATTTATATGTAATGACGTCTGACAGTTTGAATATTTTTTAATCAAAACTTATACGGATATTTTTTTTGGATGAGTTTACATGTCTAACGGTGGAATTGAACAGTGGAATATAATACGAATAATGGTTCAGACTTCAGAGTAGACAAAAGTGGTTTGATGCATGAATGAATCTCGCATCACATGTGTGATAAGAAAGTATCTTACAAATCAAAATTAAACGTTAACTAATAATTGGAACGTGCCGGGAAAAACAACAAAGGAGAGGAGACTTTGGATATTTTGGTGGTCAAGATGGGGACAGTGTAGACATTTGGATCAAAGCGTGTCCCATGTTGACTAATTCTCATTAATTTGGCGCGTATCATATCATATGGTAAGCTAAAATCATTCTAAACACATGCTAAAAATATTATGAATTTTAAAACTAATTTAAGACTATTTTTTCTCTTTCAAAACATACTGTATCTTCTTCTTCTTTTTTTTTTTGTATAGAAAATGGATGTTGAAGCTTTAATACGTAAAGACGCTTTGCTCTATATAAATAAGTAGATGTTGTTTGCTAATCCAGTTGGCTAGTTGAAATAATGTTATGCTTTAAATCCACTAAAAAACTGGTGAGTGGACTACTTGACGGCTACACATTCAGAGATAAAAAAAAAATACTTTACTTTCTATACAAAATCTTTAAACATCTAGAATTCGACTTTAATTTTCCATAAAATATTAGAGAAATTAAAGACCATGAATCATATTGACAAAAAAAGGAAAAAACAATATTCGCTTTCTTAGATTTACAAAATACTACACAACATTTTTGGTTATCCAAATATCAAGGTAGTATTTGAAACATATATAACTCAATCTAGTAATACGATAAAGTTATGGCTGATGTCAATTTCTTTTTATAGGAAAAAAGTGTGATCCTACAATCCGGACCCGGTGATTCATTCCTGACTTGGTTTGGATACATTCAATTCTCCAATTCTTTCTCTCCTGATTTGATTACTAATTTTCTATCTTTTCTTCCATGGTTCATGTATTGTCCATGGATAAATAAATATGCATTAAACTATTTTTAATAACGTTTCATTAAATCGATGTTAAAATAGTCGTGCTCCCACTTGCAGAGAATCCTGAAGCCACGGTCGCATACGCCCAGCACATAAGGTGCTTCAGCTGATTCTGAACCGTGATATGCTTCCATGAAGTGTTCTTAAAGTCGGTTGTGATTGCATAACCAAAAGATTTATCAGAAGAGTTTAGAAAATTTTAAGAGATTAAAGGTTGACAAATAGTTAAGAGAATTCGAATGTATCCCTGTTTGTGTGCCAACACAATATAGCAACGATGATATCATCAGAAAGGTGTTGACAAAAATTATCATCAGAGAGGTAAAAAACATGACCAAGTTCTATTTTTCAGGCGAAAGAAAACAAAACGTGAAACGAATCAAGCATAAGTGAGCACAAAATGTGGGCCTTATCATACTACTGGGCCTTGTTCTATTTTCTTACGTTCAAAAGATTTCATACAAAGAGTTGAATCTCGATTGGAAGAATTGAATATAATAAACCAACGTGATTTCGTTTCCAAGTGTATAAACAACAAAGTACATGCAAACCTCATGATCCTTTTCATTCATATGACGTGATAACCAAAACAGCTATTGAGTCCTCAAAAGCCATCTCTTAGGTACATTATAACCTTTGATATAAAACAAGTTAATTTCATGATTACACAAAATAAATAAACAATAAAACAAGTTATGCGCTGTAATCCTCTATCTAATCTGGTTTTAAATAGCTTAGAAAAGGTAGGAATATCATGCACATCCTAAGAGTCTTGATGATGGTTCCTCATGTTTCAAACATGTCTATGTTTCTCTTAACTACCCTCGCTATTGTCATCATCATCTCGACCGTCATGGCAAAACCCTCTATCTCTACTAAAATGTCGCCATCATCTCAAGATTTAGATTCTTCCTTTAAGGTGAAATCCAAGAGCTTTTTGCCAAAGTTGTATGGTGATTATGGGTTTTGGAACCCTAGCCCGGTTTACGGAGGAGGTTTCCCTTACCCTGGGCCTGTTCCTCATGCCAGTCTAGATTTGAAACAGAGACATAAGAAGCCGAAATGAAACCGGAAGATATGTTGGTTATGTTCTTCAACTTTTCTACTACCTATGTGGGTGTTCTCTAGATAAGGTAGTGCTCAAGGCTAGTGTAGTTACTGCATAATGCATCATGTCTTCATTTTTGTTTTGTAATACATCCAAATAGTTTTATATACACATCTTGTTCCAGATAACCCGTGTAAAGTGTTTTATAATTTTAAGAACATGTCAATACTAAAAACTATGATCAAGATTCAGGAATCGAGCTCAAGTAAAGATCTTGCGTGCTTTTTTTTATTTTTTTATTTTCTTTCTTTTATAGCCGTAATTTGGCTATTCATATACCGTCCAACTATAGTGTGGTTGACACCTAATTATACAAACAAAATTAATGTCTGTATGACAAAGATCTTACACAGAATTAAAATATAAAATCGTTGATGTAACGCCTATCTACCTCACGGCCTTGCTCTATATAGAAAAGTCTTTTCCAAAGAATGTGTCATGCATATTAACTTGCAGGCATGTTATCAAGTTTCCATTAAACCCGTCAGAAGTTTAGATATCTATTTATATATACGTTAGTGCGTGGCGGATCTATAAATATTTTCTATCTCGGATAGTTGTAATATGTAAATATAATATGAGAGTACTTACTCGTATGACAAGATATATTGATAGAAAACATCGAGTTTCGAATTGCAACTATAAACATGTTGAAGGTCATTATACATATAATGATAAGATCCAATGGAGAGCAGAGACCACCTTTTCTTCGGGTGTACGTTTTCGGCGGAGATATGGTCGAACCTCACCAGAGGGATCCTCACTCACCGCTATACCACAGATTGGTCTCCTATCCTTCAGCTTATCTCTTCCCCAAACTCGGACCGCGTTCAGCAATTCCTCATTCACTATCTTTTTTAAGCTGCCATCCACGCAATATGGCAAGAGAGAAATCAACGCAGGCATGGTGAACAACCGTCCACGGCTCAGCGAATCATCAAGACCCTGGACAAGACAATGAGGAACCGCCTAAGTACTATCCAGAGACACAACCCTTGTTTCAAGGACGGATTAGTACACTGGTTTACTTCTCGCCCAAATGCAGTGACTTAGAGCATTTCTAATGGTTGGTTCTATTTTTGGCTATAAATATAGAGTTCTCTAAAAATAGAGAGAAGGAGTTTACTCCAATGGTCATCTCTATATCTGACTCTAAAAATATATATTATATTTTATTCCTTAATATTAATTGCTTATCAGACCCTTTACTTTTAAAATTTTAAAATTGTTCTATCTATTTTATTTTTAACAATAATTCAACATAAACATATTTTTAACATTAATTATTATAAAAATTTATTACATCACATAATAAAAAGATTAGCAACTAATACATTTTTTTAAGCATCAGAATTAGTATACTTTTCTCACAAATGATCAATCAGCTTCGAAGTGAAAAATGAACCTCTTTGTCTCTGATTTTTCTATATCGCCCAAGAAATTCTTGAAATCGGGTAGTTTCATCTTCTGCTATTTCCACCTCTGGTGGTGGAGCTTCTCTTCCAACTTCAATTGGTGCATTGAGATCACGCTCATCTTCGATTATCATATTATGTAAAATTATACATGTGTCATTATGTCATGTATCACATTTTTTCCCCAAAAACGAGTTGGTCCTTTCACAATTGCAAAACGCGATTGGAGAACTCCGAATGCACGTTCTACATCTTTCCGACATGCTTCTTGTTGTGTAGCAAAATATTTTTTCTTAAGACCCATTGGCTCGTGAATAGTTTGCACAATGGTGAACCATTTTGGATATATATCATCCGCTAAATAATAACCCATATTAAACTCTTTTCCTTGAATGACATAATGACAAGGAGGAGCAATACCTTGAGCGAGATTGGAGAAAAGATGGGAATTCTCCAACACATTGATGTCATTATTGGTGCCTGGCATTCCAAAATACGCATGCCATATCCAAAGATCATAATCTGCTACAGCTTCAAGAATTATTGTTGGCAATCCACTATGTCCCGCATATTTCCCAGCCCATGCGGTAGGACAATTTTTCCTTTTCCAGTGCATGCAATCTAGGCTACCAAGCATTCCTGGAAAACCTCGTTTTTCACCAATGTAAAGAAGTCTTGCAACATCATTGGCTGTTGGTGAGCGTAAGTATTGCTCCAAAAAAATATCCACTATAGCTCGACAAAAACGTTTCATGCTTTCGATTGCTGTTGATTCGCCTATTTTAACGTACTCATCTGTGGCATCTGCTGGAAGCCCATACGCTAGCATCCGGAATACAGCTGTTCCTTTTTGAAGGGGTGACAGTCCAAGTCGACCAGTTGTATCCCTCCTTTGAGTGAAGTAGTTGTCATGACTTTCAACTGCGTTAATAATACGAAGAAATAGAGAACGAGACATACGATACCTTCTGCGAAACATAGCATCATTATACAGTGGAGTTTCAGAGAAGTAGTCATTGAACAATCTCTCATGTGCACTTTCTCAATCACGGTGGATGAAGGCACGTCTTCGAACCGAGTTGTCGTGGGTCTCATTGTTGCTTTGTTGATTGAGAAGGTATTGAATGATCAAGTTGTTATTAGCAATAACAATTTGTATTGCTTGTTCTTCATGGTCAAGACTTTTGATCATTTCCATATTATCATCATCATCTGAAGATGATGATGAATCAAGGAAATTTGGAAGATTTTGGAAATTAAAATTCATTTTGAGAGAGAAGATTTTGAATGAGCAAAGTAAAATGTGTTTGTAATATTGTGATGATTAGAATGTAGATTTAGTGATATTTATAGAAATATGATGAGTGAAAATGTGTAAATGTAGGTTTACATTTAGTATGAGTAGTTGGAGAGATATAAAGAAAAATTTAGTTAAAGAAGAGAAAGTTACGTGTAGTTGTTTTCAATATGTGTAGTTGAATAGAAATAAATGTGACAATTTAATGTAAAGTCTCTTGTGTAGTTGGATTCTCAAATCTATTTAAAATATGTAATAAATTAAGTTAAAGCTGTATGTGTAGTTGGAGTGATAAATGTGAGAATTTAATTTAAAGCTTTATATGTAGTTGGACTCATGAATGAGAGAATTTATTGTAGATTTTCACTAGTCCAAAACGTGAGAATATAGAAGTCACTATATCAACCTCTATAAATACTATAACATCTTGGCTTTTTAATCCATTCACAACATTAAACAATTCCATAAATTCTTGACACATTTTCTTTCCTTTTTAACTAAAAATGTTTGAACGTGGTTCTCGTTCTGCTGGGTACTCTAAAGAAGAAGATAAGCTTTTATGTCAAGTGTATATGGAAATTTCTCAAGACCCGATAACAGGTGTTTATGAAACATCCGACAAGTTTTGGGATCATGTGGTGGAAGCTTTCGAAAAAGAGAAAGCTTCAACTTGGAGTGAGCGTACCAAAAAATCTATTCGATGTAGATTTCAAACAATTGAGAGAGCAACAAGGAAGCTACATGCATGCATCAAACAATGTGAAAATAGACGTCCAAGTGGTGCTTCAAATGATGATATTGTAATTATTAATATATAACTTTTTAATTTTTTTGTTGTTAATTGAAGTTTTATTTATTATGTTTAATACTTATATGCAGTTCAATCAAGCTAAAGAAATGCTAATGGAAGATCCAAACTTCAAAACCGGTTGGAAATATGATCATGTATGGAGTATTATTAAGAATTTTGAAAAGTTTAAAGATGGTGTCACTTCCGCTAAAAAGATATCAAATCCATGTGGTTTCAGGTATATATCTTATGAGTCTGAAAATCCTACACCAGATTCTGCTACAAAAGCATCTGCAAGTTTTTCTACATTTTCTATAAACTTAGCTGATGAAGACGACTTTAGTGGCGGATCTCCATCTCAACGACCAATTGGAGTGAAAAAATCCAAATTGAAAAGAAAAGTTGATGATCAAACATCGGCTGTTATCCAAATTTTAGAAGAAGGAAATAGACAACTTGTGGAAGAGTTAAAGAAGACAAGTGCACAAAGACAACACCACTTGGAGATTCAAAGTAAGAATTATGCATTAAAAAAACTCAAGGAAGAAAATAAAGTTTTACTTCAAGACTTAAATTCCATACAAGATCCAAATATCTGTGAATATGTTCAAACTGAACAAAGACGAATTTTAAAGAAAAGGGTTGATCAACAAGCTCCTTCTACATCTACTTCATTTCATTCCGGCAATATTTTGGTGATTTTCATGGAGGTGGAAACGACTTAGCAGAATATTAGACTACTAATCTAATAAATTAGTTTTTATCTTTAATTTTTAGTATTAATTATGTATTTCTAATTTTATTATTTATTATATTATTGTATTTCTTTGTTTAATATATATTGTTATTTATTTTTAAGTTACAATAATTTTATAATAAATAATTAGTAGTATAATTTGAATTAAAAGTAATATTGTTAGTTATATTATTGTTTAGGTATAAAATAAAAATATCTTAAAACTAGAGGACTGTTTTGTAAATAAAAAAGTTCTGTTCTAAAAATAGAGCCATGAACAGTGTTACTTCAAATATAGAGCAACACTGTTCATTTCTCTATTTATAGAGCAAGATATAGAGCATCATTGCAGTTCATTTAACTCTAAAAATAGAGTTTATAGCAAGATAGAGAGCACCATTGGAGATGCTCTTAGGCTCTACTCTGTTTTGTTTGTAAAAATTCAAAAACTCAACACTCTGTTTTGCTTGTAAAAAGTTGTTTTTTTAGACTGAATAAATTTTTACATTCTCTAAAAAAAGGAAGGAATAACCAATTCGAAAATTAGTCAATATTCTGGCGTAAATCTTTCTGTTATTAAAAGTTAATCTAAATTGGAGTTCCATGATAAATTAAATCATCAACAGACACATTCATGATATGATGACAATATCCTGGTAATGACCATCAATTTCGTTGGATTAGAAAAATTGGTTAAAGCTACAAAACAGATCTGCTGATTTATCTTTGTCCAGGTCAAATATCATCTACCAAAACAAAAAAAAAACAAAACCGGTGTAGTTGCTACTAAAAAACGGCAAAAAAATCAAGTAAAAATCATTTTTTTCTGTCAACAAATGATAAAACTAATCGTATTCACACTTTGATTACTATACTAAAAAATTTCAAACCTTATTAGCCGTAAAGTCAAAGTAATGGCGTGTTGACTAAAATGTTATAATGTTTCTTTCCTAATATTTTCTACTAACTAATTTACAAATAGCCTTAAAACCGTTGACCACTTCAATGGCTTCGCTCCTCTTCTTCTTCTTCTTCTTCATCATCACTCGCCAAAATCTTTTGAACTTTCTTCTTCTTCCCTTGTTTCGTCTCTCTCCTCCTCCTCCTCCACAACCAAGTCGATGGCTTTTAATTTCTCACGCTTCGATGCTCAATCCGCCGCCGAGAAAGCCGTATCGGTGATCGGGTTAGGTTACGATCTCTGCTCCGACGTTCGTCTCTCGTCTTGTAAAGCCACACCCGACGGGTCGAGGCTGGTCGAAATCGACCCGACCCGGAATCGAGACCTAGTTTTCCCCGGAGGGGTCGTCGTCAACAACGTCTCGAGCTCGATTAAGTGCGATAAAGGAGAACGCACTCGTTTTCGCTCCGATATACTCTCTTTTAACCAGGTTTACTTTCATTAGCCTTAGCTTTGATTTCCCCTGATTCGTTGAGTGAGTTGTTTTAATATGTTTTTGGGTTCTTTGCGTTGTGTAGATGTCGGAGAAATTCAATCAGGATATGTCACTTTCCGGGAAAATCCCATCGGGGATGTTCAATACCATGTTTGAATTGAGAGAAGGTTGGCAAAAAGATGCTAGCTCAGTGAAGACGCTAGCTTATGATGGTTGGTTTATTAGCTTGTACAGTGTAGAGCTCGTTAGGTCACAAGTTACTCTGCGTGATGAAGTGAAGCGTGAGGTGCCTTCTTCTTGGGACTCTGTTGCTCTTGCTGGGTATGATGAAAGGATGAAACTTTTGGAGTTTTGAAACTGCAATTTCGGATCTTTTGTTGACGGGTGAGATTGATTTTGGGTGTTATTATGTTTTGATAGGTTCATTGAAAAATATGGTACTCACATAGTTGTTGGAGTGACTATGGGAGGCAAAGACGTGGTTCACATGAAGCAGCTGCGTAAGTCGAATCACGAGCCTGATGAGGTCCAGAAGCTGTTGAAACAATTGGGTGATAAAAGATTTTCGGTTGATCCAGTCCAAAGTGTCTCTCCTGCTGGTGTTTATTCTGGAAAGCCAAAGGTAAAGAAAGAGTCTTGAGAAGCTCTCAGTCATTCTCGCAATGCAAAAACCTGAGATGTTTTAATGGTTCTGCAGGAGGAGAATCCTATCCAATGGGGAATTCATGGGCAGTTTGGTTCCTCGGTTAGTCGTCCTGTTATCATGCGCTCCAAGAACGAGGTTTGCTTCTTTCTCATCACTAATGCAGTGAATCACATGGGTTTCTTGTTTTAACTTAAACCTGTAAATTGAATAAAAGACGTGTACTTTTGCATCTCCAGGATTTGGTGAGCATTTGTATCAGAAGAGGAGGTGTTGATATGGGTCAAAGTCATGATCGTTGGCTCTCAACAATATCACAATCACCAAACGCCATATCCATGTGCTTTGTTCCCATAACTTCGCTGTTGAGCGGTCTCCCAGGAACAGGGTTTCTTAGTCATGCAGTGAACTTATACCTCCGATGTGAGCATTTTGGTTCTTTCTTTCTTCTTTTGCTTCTTAGTTACTCAACGGTTCATTCAGGTGATAAAGTTTATATAAAATGCTGTAGATAAGCCACCGATAGAGGAGTTGCATCAGTTTCTTGAATTTCAACTTCCACGCCAATGGGCTCCGGTGTATGGAGATCTCCCTCTTGGACTACGCCGCAGAAAACAAAGTTCTCCGTCCCTTCAGTTCTCTTTGTTGGGTCCAAAACTATATGTCAATACATCAAAGGTACATACATGTGCTCTTCACATTGCTGTAAAGTAATACATAAATCTTTACTCATGTTAAAAATGTCAATCTCAAAAACTGTTTTTTCTTAGGTTGATTCTGGTGAGCGACCAGTAACTGGACTACGCTTATTCCTGGAAGGGAAGAAAGGAGATCATCTAGCAATCCACTTGCAACACCTCTCTACATGCCCTCCAAGTCTCCACCTCTCACACGACGACACCTATGAACCCATCGATGAACCAACCGATAAAGGATATTATGAAGCTGTGAAATGGGGGATCTTCTCACACGTATGCACCTTCCCGGTTCAATACAACGGAGCACGGTCTGATGATGCAGCATCTATTGTGACCAAAGCCTGGTTAGAAGTCAAAGGAATCGGGATGAGGAAAGTTCTGTTTTTGAGGCTCGGTTTCTCACGGGTTGCATCAGCTGTTACACGTAGGTCTGGCTGGGATAATCTCTCATCAATCTCACGCAAATCAGGTGTTTTCTCGATGATTAGTACAAGACTAAGCGCAGGTTTAAGTCCAAACCCGACAGCAATGAAGCCACAGTCTAAGATCGATATAAACTCAGCGGTTTATCCTGGAGGGCCATCTCCGCCTGTGAAACCGAAGCTGCTTAGTCTTGTAGACATGAAGGAGGTGGTGAGAGGTCCGGAAGTACCACCTGGATATTGGGTTGTGACTGGGGCTAAGCTTTGTGTTAATGCAGGCAAAATCTCAATCAAAGCTAAATATTCTCTGCTCACTGTTGTGTCGGAAGATTCGTTGGTCTGAGAGATTCATTCAGTGGACATAGAAGGGTGTGTAAGTGGGGAGCAAAAGTGGTGTGTCTGTTGGATTTTTGCAGGTTTTTCAGTTTGTGCTTAGCTTTGAGGTAATCTCATCAGGTGTTTTGGGGTTTGTGAAAATTTTATTTATATGTTTGATGTAAATGTTTCATTGTATATTTGATAATGTTGAATTTACTATTTACATATAGAATATATGTTTGTGTAGAGCGGAACATAGCTTGATGAAATGCAACAGTTTTGTGTTTTACATTCTAATGAAGTTGTAGGCAGGAACAATCTCTTGCAAGTTACAATTGTGGATCGATCACCTTGTGTACCAGTAGTTGTATGCATTATGTGAAAAACGTTATTCTCTCTGTTCAAAGAAAGTTTTTTTTTTGGCAATGATTCTATTTTCCTAACACATGGTACCAAGAAACATGCACCAACTTGTAGGGTTGAAAGTAGTAGTTAAACTCTCTTTTCTTCAAAAGAGGACTCAACTTAAGTAGAACACCTTTCTAATTGCCAATTACTGTCTTTTCTGAAAATGTTAGTATTGTGTATAAGATGTATAAAACATTAAAACATAAAGCAATATGAATGAATGAATACTCCAATGTGAAATGTTCAACATTCAACTCTTTTTTTCGTATTCAACTCTAAAAACGTTGAAGTCTATTCCATTTTCCTTTCTGACTTTTTTTCACTGTATGTTCAGTAATCTCTTGAAATTTCGAAAGCAAACACATACACTTTTAATTCTTGTATATAATAAATAAAACAAACGAGACAGGAGAAAAAGAAAAATAGAAAACAAAAAGTGCTGTCAAAAAAAAAAAGTAGAAGAAGAAAAAAAAATCTGGCAACGGTTTCAAACTTCAAACATATTTGCCAGGCAAATTTGATGACTTTTGCGAACAACTCAATCTCTCTTACGCGACGTCGTTTTATGACAACGTAAAATCCCCACCGACCTCGACTTGCTAAGCTTCATCGTCGTCGTCACCGGTCTCTCTCTCTCGACAAGAATTCTGATCGTAACCACCGTATCATCTCCAACGGCGTCGTTTGGATCCGGTCCCACTTTCGATCTCCCCATCGCACCCACTGATCTCGATCTCAACACACGATTCCGGCGACGAACCGGTACCGGAGAAACCAGCGGCTCCATGACTCTTCTCTCGAACACATCATCTTCCTCCTTCGTCACGCTAGAAACCTTGCTCTGTTTTTCTTCAACCACGAAAACGTTTTCCGATCTGTCTCCGCTCCTCCTCCTCCGCAGCCGATTCCACACAGGACACGCCTGAGACATCTTCCTCACCGAGCTCAAACACTCCACAACCTCCGACATATCTGGACGTTTCTCCGCCGTCGATCTCACGCACCTCGCCGCCATAACCGCTAATCTCCGTATCACGGCGGATTTAGGACGGTTCCTGATCCGGAAATCACAAATCGCGGCGGATTCGCCTCGTTTTATCAAAGGCACCGCCCAATCTACGATACACGGCGGACTAAAACTCAAATCGATGGCGTCTCTGCCGCTAATAATCTCCAGCAGCAATATCCCGAAGCTGAACACGTCGCTCTTCGCGGTTAGATCCGCCGGCGCTAAGTACGACGGATCTAAATATCCCAGCGTTCCCGCCGGCGGAGTTGATTTAAGACGCTCGTCCTCCACGTTTCCGATCAACGCCAATCCGAAATCCGCCAGCCTCGCGTTTCCTTCGCCGTCGATTAAAATGTTCGACGACTTGATGTCACGGTGGATAACCGGAGTCTCGGCAGAGTGAAGCGCGTGGACGACAATCGCGATCTGAAGCGCGTGTTTGATTCTCCGGTTCCAGCTGCTTATAATAAGCGGCGGATTTAACGAATGCAGGTGATCGTGTAGCGTTCCGTTAGGCATGTAATCGACGACGAGCAGCTTTGTTTTTCTCCGGTGGTCAACGCAGTAACCGATTAAGTTGACCATCCACCGGTGACGAATTCGTGAGAGAATCTCGATCTCGTTGTCCACCTGGTTTACGCTATCACCGGCTGCGACGATCGTGGTTCGTTTGACGGCGGCGAGGAGCTTACCGCCGTCGAGAACCGCCTTGTAAACTCTGCCGTGGCTACCTTTCCCGAGGAAATTAGTGGCGGAGAAGCCGTTAGTAGCGGCGGCGAGTTCGTCGTAGTTGAAAATCCTGAGCTTAGAATAAAGACGCTTCTCCTTCTTGTGAGGAGATTTTGATGATCGACGTTTAGGGTTCCAGTTATAAGGATCGCAGATTGAGACGGCGGATTCGCCATTGCAGGAGAGATAGCCCATGAGGAGAGATGGAGAGAGAGAGAGGAGGAGAAGAGTGAGAGAGGAGCATGACTGATATTTGAAGAAGAAGAAGATAGGAGTGAGATTACTGTTGAACAGCTTTGATGCAAGAAAGCAAGAGAAAGATAGTGTGAAAACAATCAAAAATGTTTTTATTGACTCTACTTTCTTCTTCCTTTTTTTCTCTCTTTATTTTAAAAGTTGCTCAATTATTTTATTTTTAATGATTTTTTTAATTTGCATTTAACGTATGTGTATCTGTGCATGAGTGTGTGTAATTATTAATTTCCTTAATAAGTTGATGATTTCCAAAATTATTTCCGCATTCGATATAATTACCTAACGTTATAATGATACACTTTTAGAAGTAAAGATTTTGCATGCACCATTATGATGATACGCTGGATGTATTGGTGGATAATTGAAAGCAAATATGTAATAAATAAATTCGATATATGGTATTGGTATGGTTCCATAATCGGAATTTTGTCTCATACGAAACTGTAGTCGGTGTACACTGTAGACTGTAGAGCCCCTTTGTGAATGAGACCAAGCGGGAATTAATATGAGAATGGGCGTTCAAAGTTTTTTAATCGGAACAAACAACAAAAAATATATTTTTTTCATCCATAAACTTTTCTGTACACATAAAAAGGCGACTATGGCAATTTAATGTACGTAGATCATTATTATGGACATTGACTCATGAGAACAATTTTTGTTTTGCTGTTTTTTCTTAAACCAAATTTAAGTCTCGTTCATTCCCGAATCACTGAAATCAAGGATATAAATTGGGTATTCTAATTCAGCAATTGCAATGCCTTGTGGACTCAATGCTCTCGGCCACGTGTGATGTTTGGGATTTGTGACTTGTGGCTCACGGTTATGATATTAAGGAAAATCTCTGTTTGCTCTTTTCCTTTTCTCTCATGTCAATCGTACCTCAAGTGAAGCAGCTCACATATTGGCAAAAAAAGGATGCATTAATTTGAATTTCTTCTCAAGTTGTTATTTTCCTCCTAGATGGTTAACACCATTCTTGTATCAAGATTATGCTAACTCTAAAATTTTCTAATAAATAGATTTTGTCGGAAGAAAAAAACACTTAGATGGTCATCGACAATCTGGTTTACGGTTTAGATAATATGAAAAATCTAGGTATGCTTGTTTTTATTTCATTTTGTAACATTATATTTTTTTTTCTCACCAAAAAAGGAACACATTATCTTTGATTTTAAGATTTTTAACGACACCCAAGTTTCTATTTGTTTAATTAAAAAAATGCCCCTATTCAAGATGTTATGTACCCGTCCCCGTACCGCCACCTAGATTGATACCGGTATTGCGACTGAGATGCTATGTACCGGTACCGCCACCGAGACCGATCCCGGTTATGTTTGCTGCTCACCTGCCTTTCGGTGGCTTCTTTTTCGTCAAATGATAACCTTTTTTTTTTTTGGTAAAATGTTAAAGTCAAATGATAACCTTAAATTGTCGATAATGTAGTTTGTGGTAAGATAATATGAAACTTTAGTTCTATTTTTTAACACTGTCCAATCTTCATTTTTTTTGTTTTTAACTATGTTATTAAAGACATTCAAGTTCTACTTGGTACCAAACTAGATTCGCCTAAACAGCAAACTAGCTGTATAAATTATTTCGAACAGAAACATTATGAGCTTCCAAAGCGCAATGCTAGTTAATAATTATTATCTAGTAAATGTTTATAAGAATTGTTGGAAACTGAATTCTGCGATTGAAGCCAATATATTTATATGATCAGACGTCGAATTATTAATCAAAAGATTAAAATAACTTCAGATGCCAACAATCTACAAAGAAGGGCGATTGGATGTAAGGAAATTTTTGATTCAACGATTCGCTTGGATATTTTATAATGTAAAAATAGCAAAAACATTTGCACTAACACCTCTTATGGTTTAAGAATCAACACAAGTGGTCTTTTTAACTCTTAAACAAAACCTTCCGGATTACTGCAATGGTGAGAACATCATCCATCTACAACAACAGAAGAAACAAACACTACATCAGAAATTTCTACAAAATGTATCAAAGGTAAAAAAGAAAAAAAAAAAAAAATGTAAAAATCTTGCGACCTAAGAGACACGACTCGGTTATTATCACTTCTTAAGGTTTCTTTCTATAAACTGTCCTAAGATCAAGTTCAAGAAACCACAAAAAAAAAAGCTTCATTTCAGCACCACCTTGTCTTAGGCTGCGTGCATCGTTGACCTCTCCCCAGTAATTCATCATACATCATCATTGCAATCTGAGTGAATACAATTTTGTATCAGTGTTGATTCTTATGCTGATTACAAAGTGTTCTAGTCCCAGGGTTTCAGAGAAAATATAACAGCATTTCAAGCATATTCAATCGCATTAACAACGAACACTACCACACAGAATCAACCAGAAATTACCCATTTTTCTAGGAAAAATACTTCCTAAGGCTCCGTTTTAGAAAGAAAAAACTATAACCATGATGTCAAATCAAGTAAAAGACCTAACTCCAAGACTAGAGGATAAATTGACTCACATCACTCTTGTTGATTGATCTTCATCTAGTCTCGTCTAGACCTACAAAGGAAAAAAGTTGATTTATGCTCAATGAATGCAAGACACTGGATAATTGAGTAACGATAAGTAAAATAAAACCACAGGACAGACTCTGCTAAAGGGTTTTTCATATCTGAGCAGTATGTTATCGTCGACTATCCATCTATTCACAAGTGGAGTGTACTCTATTAAAACATTAGATGTGTAGAAGAAATAGAAAAAAAACCTGACTTTCAATTTTCAATCATATACACATCAAGATCTTAAGGGCATTTATCAAAAAAAAAGATCTTAAGGGCATGGACCTAAGAAGGCTTAAAGGTAAGTAAAATTACATAATCGCATGAGCAAACCCAACACAAAGAGAAAAATCAGAGGTTCTAGAGAATTTTAGAATTAACAAAGTCCATGAACATATAAATACCCAAATTCACTACACTAAGTAAATTATGATCATCAACCTTATATGTAAAACATATCAACTCTAAACTTAGCCCACAATACCCATCAGGACCTTGTTTAATCTATCTATGATGATCCAGAAGCATGTGAATGATAGATACGTGACACTACATTTACCACTATTGAGCATCAAATCGAAGAACGCAGTCAATTGTGTAATCAATAATTCATCACTCTGATTTACATCTTCAACAACATGTTTCTTATCATCAATCCACTAAAACATTCAATTTGAGAACTAGACTAAACAATCAAATCAATTTCGAGAATTTTTTAGCCTATCCCACAATTGTCTTTCACTTTTTTTTTTTGTCTAGAGCTTAGTTCGTGCATTTCAGATATCAGGCAACTAAGCATGTATACTATACCATCAAGAAATTGACAATGAAGAATCGAGATAAGAACAGAGAGAGGGTACCTTCAACGATCCAACCACGGCGTGAAGCCGAGAGCATCGAATTGAGCAAAGCGGAAGCAGTAGCCGTGTGGTAAGGGAGCATCGTCTCCACGCAACAGCTCAATTCTACCGGAGATCTTTCATTCCAAAGAAGTTTACGGAAAATTTCAGGATGGATCAAATCGGCAAAATCAGTGTTTCAGAATGTTCTGGAGAAAGGTTTTACCTGAAAATGCGGTTCGAAAGAGGGCTCTGTTTAGGCATCCGAAAAGCGGACCGTGGCGATGCCGGCATGGGCTTGGGTCCGGCGGAAAATCTAAACGCGGCGGCGGATGCCCGGCTTGCGGCGGAGCGGAAGACGGATCTGGCGGCGGACATTGGCGTTTACGATCTTTCGATTAGGAATTTTTTTTTTCTTCAATTCGACAGAGTTCAGGGCTTTAGGGTAGGGTTTTGCTTGCGGATAAGTGACACGCGTCAAATCCGAATTTGTGTACTTTGGGCCCAAAAATTTACATAAGTTAATTATAAATTTAGAACACAATAAATTAACAAGGAAAAGTAAAAAATAACAATAAAGTAATACATGTAAATACAACGTATAACTAAATAAGTATGTAATGTATCGTCGGGAAAAAAATTAATACAGTATGTAATGTTTTTAATTAAAATCATAGGTAAGGTCGGAAGGAGTATATATTTCATCACAAATTAATACATATATAATTAATCAATAAACCATATCCTGAAAAGGAAACAAATTAAAAAAAATATAAAGTTTCGAATTAATAAATAGACCCAGAAAAGGAAAAAAGTGGTTTCAATTTGTCCTTTATATTGGCCGTGATTAACGGAATGAGGACTCTTCTTTTCCTCGTCAAAGAGTCTTTTAATTGATTCTAATTGCTAAGTGCCTTTAAAGAGTGTCCTTTGTCTTTTAGTTGTCACGGCGTTTCCGTTGGTCTTTTCCGGTCATATGTATTACTAAATCGTGTTGTCTATCAGTATATGTAAGTATTACTAACGATTTTAATTATATTAACGAATACCTTTTCACTTCTATTTTCCATATATGCCAAGATTTTCTACCAAAGTATCCGATCAAAGCTGAGTTATGCATTAAAATTAAGGAAAGGACGCAAACAGTATGTGGTTTGTGATTTCACCCTTAGGACCAGTAATTAATACAAGTTTGGTAACTGTTGATGAACCCATCTCAGCTAACAATCCGGCATAATCGATCGATTTTTGTCGCATCTACTACAATATTTCGATTTTAATCCGATCTATGTTTTCTAGATCCATAAATTAAATAATTGGATTGGGTGTGCAAGTAATTATTAGTGTCTCTTTTGCACTTCCGCAAGGGGAGAATGGGCATCTTCATGTCCCCCATCATAAATCATTAAAAGCAGTCACGTTTGGTCCCATATCCATAGTGCTTAACTAAAATTACTTTTAACAAAATATAAGGTGATTATATATTAACATAAGAAAACAACATAAAGTAGCACCATTTCTATATTATACTAGTAATTTTCTTTCATCTGAATATTATATGCAAACGCAAACATCAAAGTTCAAAAACCCATAAAAAAGCAATACCCATTTCAACTAAAAAAAACACAAAAACCCATTTCCCTTTTTTGTTTTTGTTTTTCACTTATATATAAATCTGTTGTAATGATAACAACGATTTTACTTTGACTAATCAACCAGAAGTAATATAACTTAGTGGAAATAAAAAGAAAATACTTTTAAGAGAGTGTAATGATCTTGAGAGAAATTCAAATAACAAATCATCATCAAGGCTTGAACTGATCTCCTTGCTCCTCAACAAACTCCTCAGGCTGTTTGTTCATCATGTTATTCTCCCACTTGGAGTTGTACGGATCCTTGAAGCTCTTCTCCTCCTCGTTGTTGTACGAATACGTCTGGTCGTAGTTATTCTCAGTCGCCGGAGAAGAATAATAACCGGCGGGGCTTTTACGGTGAGGTTTCCGGTAGAAATGGCCGTGGTTTCTGTCGTTGTAAAGGTCGTAATAGTAGTTACCTTTCGCCATGTATCTTGTGTCACTCATGCCTTGTCTCTCCAAATTGTGGCTGTAACCTTTGTACGGTGTTTCACGTTCTAACTCTGTCCCGTAAGCATTGGAGTTGTAGAAGCTTCTCTTGTCTTCATTGTTCTCGGGGAAAGACTCTTCTTTGACATTTTCATTGTACTTGTTGTTGACCTCTTCGTTGTTGTAACCGTTACTGTCGTAGCTCTCTGTCTTCTTCGGGTACTTCTCGTCGTAGCTGTCGTAAGACTCTTCGGTCTCGCTCAAGCTTGGAGTTGAGAAAGTCTCACCGTTGAATTTTTCATCGTACTTGTTGTTGTTGTTGAACTCTTCTTTGTTGTTATTGTAGGTGGTCTCGTGACCATATAAGCCATATCCGTTTTCGGACTCGGGGACAAAGGTAGGATCTTGTTCTTGCTCATTCTTGTTGGGCATGGATTCTTCTACTGAGGTTTTCTCGCTGGTCTCGAGAGGGAGGACATTGTTAGGGTTTTGGGCTTTGGGGGATTCTCGGTGGAATTTGCCAAAGAAGTAGCTGTCTCTTGCATTGGTTTGAGTGGAGAGAAGAACCAGTGTTGTGAAGATGAAGAAGAGGGAACTTCTAGTGGAGAACGCCATGATGTGTTGTGTAGTGTAACAGAGAAAAGAGAAGAAAAAATGTGATATTGTGGACTTAATGAGAGCTAGTGTGTGCTTATATAGAAAGAAGCTCTTTGAGTGATTTTTTCTTTCTTCTTTTTCTTTTTTCTTTTTCTTTAGACATTGTGGACTTTTTTTTTGTGTGTTTATTAATTTGAAGTCGTTAGGTGCAAATGGGGACTGGATAGGTGATAATGGTTGATTGTGGGTCCATTAGGATGAGATGATTTTCAAAGAGGTAGCTCAGCTTTTTTGCCTATAAGACTAGTTTATCAGCAAAAGGTAATTAACCACTTTCGTTTGTTTAAATTCGACCAAAAACTGTTGTCGATTAATTAATTTCGCTAAGATGAAAACATGGATCGTATTTTCGTAGTTTTGTTGAAAACAGTTATATATGGGGTAGGAGTAGATAGGGATGATTTATTCAAATCAGTGGGTGATTTTCTTCCTTCATCAATGTTATTGTCTTTTTTAATTTATAAAATCTGAACTTATATAGTTATATATATATATATATATAAACTTATAATGCTTGGCGTAGCAACTAGCTTATTTTGGACGAAAAAATTGAAAAAAAAAGTTAAAAGAAACAGAAGTGGTGACTAAAATTATTACATAAAATTATCAATCATATGTGAACCAAGTGGACAACAAGTTGGAAGGTTTCCTTCGATTCCGAGCCAACAGGATGTCTCTGATAGTAGTGCGATCAATCATTTTGAAAACAGATTCCGGAGTTGAAGAGGTTCCCTCGTGTAACCGAGTGTTCCTTTCTCGCCAAAAGAGTAGATCGTTGCTTGAGCTGCAAAACGCTTAAGAAGCTTTGGAGAAGACTCATCGAGGAGGTAGAACCAAAATCCTCTCATTAGTTTTGAATTGGTAGCATTTGTTGGAAGTTACAATATCTTTTTTAAAAAAACAGTACTCCAATATTATTTATTTTACCATTCAAACTGCGAAAATGTTAATCGTTAGAACATTTTAAAAAAAAACTTGTCTAAATTATTAACTCGAAACTCTCTATACTATTATCTTATATTCATATTCTGTATGCACTAGAGCAATCCACATGGTTATTACTACTTCATTTTTTTTTTAGTTTCTGAAGTATAGTCGTATACGATAGAAAGAAAACATTTTGTCAGTATTTCGAATAAACATTGAAAAGGCAGATAGTTTTGTGATGTTTATAAACATTTTCTTTCTGATATAGCCCTCCTAAAATAATCGACATAATAGTATCAAGTTGATAATTGAATAGCCTCGAGATGCTTCCTTATGTAAAATCACTTTATAGTTATGTCTTCTAAAGGTCTCAACTTTCCCGATCTTCAAGCAAACCCAAAATTATATATGATTATTATTTCAGATGGTCAGACAAATAAAAACCACATTTGTATAAAGCTGACTTGAAATGCACCAGTAATTTTATCATCACGTAGTCATAATCATTCTTCCTTTGTACTATGAGAAAACAAGAATAATGAATTGTTTGGTCCGATTAAAATTTACATGATTACATTTACATCTGAAGTTACTATATGAATATGCTATTGATAGGTGGTGAAGAAAAAACAATACTCCAATCTTTAGATTAAGCATTTCTATCGTTACCTTTGTGATTGTGATCTGCAAATCTAATGAAGGTTTCAAATGGTGTAGACTCGCTTGGCAGCGGGACGATCTGCGAATATGATACTTTTAGTTAGAAAACAAATATTAGTTTGCAATTCTACATGTAGATGCCTAATTGCCTTTGATTTTGATATTAAATTTTAATTTATATTTCTATAGTATTTACCATAATATCCTTTTGTAGATATGATATGACCGCTCAAGATCAATAGTATGGACAATATGTAGAAAACAATTCATCTTAAAATAATAGCTTTGTTGTAATATATTATATTAACAAAAAAATATATATTGTATAGATAATGATTTTTTATTTCTATAACACATTCTAAAGGTCCAAGTTTTTTTACTGCTTTAAATACTTTTAGCCAGTGAATAAATTATATTATTATCCCAGTGAAAATAATAAACTATATTGTATTACTCTGCAAACATTTTTTTTATATCAAGCAAAAGAAAACTTTTCTTATTTAGTGGTGATTTCACTTTATACAAGAAAAAAAAGAATAGAAAATTTTAAGAAGAAAAAAGCAAAGAGGGAGAAATGGAGAGGCCGAGTAATAATGCGAGGATTGAGGGAGTGTTAGTGGGATTGGGGCGTCCCACTGATCACTATGGAGACACCAATACACACATCATGTTACCCTAAGCCACTATCCTCTCTAGTTTCTACATTGTGTGTGCGACTAAATTTCGTGGCTCTACAGTTGTTTCCATTTTCTATTTCCTTTGTTTCATCATATTGAAAGATACACTTCTACGACATGCACTCACAAAAAAGGTATAGATTCCAAAATTTATATCTGGATAGTTAGGTTAGTCTGTAGTAGATAATCCATCATTATCTGTAATCTAATATCAAAATTAGATAGATGGAAAGAAACACTAGGATTTATAAAGTCAAAGAGATAAATTGTCAAGCAACTTTGACTAAATGGTGGGATGAGTATGAAAGATTTCTGAGAGAGTACGTGTTTTTCGTTTTCAGACATATTTTGAGAAACATATTAACCATTCAAAAAAGCTTAAAGGAATATAAATCAGCAGAACAAAGTGCACGGCATCTTTAATCTTTTAAATTAAAATAAAAATGATACATTAACAAATACAAGTGTTTTTTTTTTTTTTTGTGCAGCCAATACAAGTGAAAATTTCAATGGAAAAGGTAAAGCAAAAGAGAAAGAAGATCTGTGATTATATAGAAAACAATCGGGTGCGAAAAAAAAAAAACATTGAAAAGAAAAAACAAGATTAATGCAATAAATCAATCAAATACTAAAAAATGTTTTTTTTTTTTTTTTTTTTTGCGAAAAGGATTTTCATATTTAATGCATGAGAAACAAAATGATTACAAGCCCAGCCCGACTATAGTAGTTAGAGCAAGAGCCCAATAGAAAGAACACACTAATCTCATTTTGAACCACATAGCCCATAGGCCCAATGACTTAAATTGAAGGGGAAGTTTTATGGTCGTTATCATCGAAGGTGAAGAAGCAATTGTTGAGGGGGTTTTGACAGTGCTATACACTCGGAGAGGGCGCCGTGGAGAGCCATAGTTGAAGAAGCGATGAGGCCCGGTCGTTGTTGGAGTCGCGATAGCTGGAGGCTTTATTCCTGATATAGGAGTCATTGAGAAGGATCAGAGCGTCAGGCGATCGGAAGAGTTGACGGTGGAGACGGTGATTTCTCTCCGTCCATAACAGATATAATGTGTTTTGCCAAGCGAGGATGATGAGCCACTTCTTGTCCTTTGGAGCCGTTAGCGATTGAAGGTCCGCAATGCTGTGCCCCCAAGATCTGATAGGTGAGTAGTTACATCTCCTTGCAATTGGCTCCCAGACACTCCAACTGAAAGAGCAATCGAAGTAAATGTGGTCACGAGATTCAGGCAGAGCGTCACAGAGAAGACATCGAGTGTCTGTGGTGAGGCCCCAGTTAGCGATCCGATCCCGAGTGGGACACCTGTTCAAGATCAACATCCAAGTAAAGAAGCTGTGCCTTGGCGTTCCCCCCTGGTTCCATACAATGGACCTCCAAGGTACTTTTGGTACTGTATTCCGAAGTAGGTGGTAGACCTGACCCGTTGAGTATTTTGTGGAGACTTTTCCATCTATTTCCCATTCATAGTTATCCTCTTCTCTTGTAAGTTGAAGCGTTGTCATATGAATGTGTAGGGAGAGCTGCCTTTCAGATCGGGGAGATGGGAGCATCCAACCGCCATTGCAGTATAGATTTGCCAAAGTAGTATTCGCTGCAATTCCAAGTCGCCTGTCTCCCACAGATTGTAGAAATTTTTGGAGATTCCCAAATGGAGACCAGTTATCTGTCCAGAAGAGGCAACTTCTGCCATTCCCCACTCTGAGTTTGATCCAATCGTAAGCTTCCTCTCTCGATTTAATTATCTTATTTGCAAACCAAGAGTTGGTTTGCTTTAGTTTTGCTGACCACAGATTGTTGACATTACCCTTGAGGACACGTTCCTTGAACCAGGCGACCCAAACTGACCCTGATTGAAAGAAAAGTAGCCATAGCAGTTTGATGATGCAAGCTTTGTTCCAGACATATAGGTTTCTAATACTAAGTCCTCCTTCCGATTTTTGCATAGTGACCTGATCCCAAGATATTCTAGCAGTGTGATGTCCCTCAACTGTTCCTTTCCACAAGAAGGCGCTACAGAGTGAGTTGATTTTCCGGATGCAGAGCTTGGGAAGGACAAAGTTAGAGCACCAAAAATTAGTAATGCCGGCGATCACTGTGTTTAGTAGTTGGAGTCTTCCTGCAAAAGAGAGCGTTTTCACTGACCAGCTGCTTATTTTTCCTTTAATTTGTTGCAGTAACGGCTCACAATTTGCAATGCTCAGTTTCTTAGTACACAGCGGAACTCCTAAGTAACGCATTGGAAGTGTTCCGGGGCTTAGACCAGTGGTCTCCGTAATATTTTGAACCTCCTCCGGAGATAGTCCTGCCGAGAAGAAGCAAGATTTGTGTATGCTTACTGCTAAACCAGATCGAAGTTCAAACTCACGGAGGACTTGAAGAACATTCTGGACAGAGGAGAGTGAGCCATCAATGAATATTAACAGGTCATCAGCAAAGCATAGGTGAGTCAATTTGGTTCCTTCACACTGGTGGTGATATTGAAATTTTCCATCCAAAGCAGCCTGGTTAAGCATAAGGGATAGGCAGTTCATAGCTATTACGAAGAGGTAGGGGGAGAGTGGGTCACCCTGTCTGAGCCCTCTTTTACCTTTGAAATAACCGTGAACTGCACCATTGTAGCCTAGGGTGAAGTTAGTTGTGCAGACGCATGCTTTTAGACATCGAATATAGTGATCGGGAAGTAGAATCCCCTGCAAACAATTGAAGAGGAAGTCCCACGATAGAGTGTCGAAAGCCTTGGCAATGTCGACCTTAATGGTTATGCGTTTGGGACCCGTTTCTTTGTGGTAACCACTCACTATTTCACCCGCTAGGACCGTATTTTCAACAAGAAGCCTCCCTTTGACAAATGCCGTTTGATTATGCAGGATCAAAGAGGGGAGAATCGGCTTAAGTTTTCCCACCATTAGCCTTGAAATCACCTTATACAACGTGTTGCAGCAAGAGATGGGTC